TTCCTTTAAACGCGCCCCTAAATACATTATTGTTCAGAAAAGCCTACCACGTAAATGGACACAATAGTCACAAAAACACCTTTAGCTTAAAGGGACACTCCAGTGCCAGGAAAACAATCCATTTACCTGGCACTGCAGGTCCCCTCTCCCTCCCACCTCCCATCCCCGGTTGCTGAAGGGGTCATAACCCCTTCAGTGACCTGCCAGAGACAGCGACGATGTCCCTCGGCGCTGCTTCTTGGTCCGCCCACGCTCCTCCCCGTCACCACGTCAGTTGGCGGGGGAGACTGATCACGCACGCCGGCGGGGGAAACCTAATGCACATGCGCGGCAATGCCGCACACACGCATTAGACCCATAGGAAAGCATTGAAAATGTTTTCAATGCTTTCCTATGGGGATTTTAGTGACCCTGGAGGTCCTCACATAACGTGAGGACATCCATCGACGCTATAGCACAGAAAATCTGTGCTATAATCTCGGAAGTGCCCTCTAGTGGCTGTCTAGTAGACAGCCACTAGAGGTTGAGTTAACCCTGCAAGGTAATTATTGCAGTTTATAAAAACTGCAATAATTACAGTTGCAGGGTTAAGGGTAGTGGGAGTTGGCAGCCAGACCACTCCAATGGGCAGAAGTGGTCTGGGTGTCTGGAGTGTCCCTTTAATGTAGCAGTTTGGGTGTATAGATCATTCCCATGCAGTCTCCCTGCTCAATTCTCTGCTATTTAGGTGTGAAATCACTTTGTTTATGCAGCCCTAGTCACGCCTACCTGCATGTGATTTATACAGCCTGCCTAAACACTTCCTGTAAAGAGAGATCTAATGTTTAAATTACCTTTATGGCAAATTCTGTTTAATTTTAAATTTCTTATCTTCTACTCTGTTTATAGCTTGATAGACTCTTCTAGAGCTTCCAGTGTGTGATTAAAAGCTCAATTTACAGAGCAGAAGATTAACATTTTTAAAGTAAGTTAACATCTGATTGAAAATGAAACCATTGTGTTTCATACAGACTGTGTCAGTCACAGCCAGGGGAGGTGTGACCAGGGCTGCATTAACAGAAACAAAAGTGATTTGACTCCTAAATGGCAGTAAATTGAGCAGTAAGACTTCATGATCTATACACAAACTGCTTCATTAAGCTAAAGTAGTTTTGGTGACTAAAATGTCCCTAAAACTTCCTAATTAAAGTATTCCATTTACCCAACATATGCCCTCATCTCACTCTGTATTAACATTATTCTCCCCCTGCGGTCCCCACCTCCTGTTTCTCACCTCCTCATCCATCTAGATTGTAAGTACCCACATCTCCTCCTGTATTAGTTTGTCAAATGCTATATTGTCTCTGACTTATATTGTACTGTGCCTATTACTTGTGCCAATGGTAACCATGAACCGCACTGCAGAATGTATTGGCATTTTTTAACTAAAGTATTATAATAATAATAATAATTTTGCCATACATTCTTTCACCTTATCAATGTTTGTAGTCTTTACCATTATACCAATATCACGGCACATCAGTAAAGAAAAACAAACACTGAGGTCAGGGGTGGCTATGCCTGCATCAGCCTGAGTCTAAGAGACATTGCAACACACCACCTTACTTGTGCTCAGAAGCTAGGAATTGCTTTTAATCTATATCTTTGCTTGTAATACCATCAGCTCAATGTGTAGAATGAGTATAGCTACCTGGAAGAGAACGTGTTTTTAGAGGATTTATTATTTTCTTCACTTTAGGGATACGATGAAATATAGTTAAATAACTAAAACATGCACAATAGACAGTTAAAGGACCACTCTAGGCACCCAGACCACTTCAGCTTAATGAGGTGGTCTGGGTGCCTGATCCAGCTAGGGTTAACCCATTTTTTCATAAACATAGCAGTTTCAGAGAAACTGCTATGTTTATGAATGGGTTAAGCCTTCCCCCTAATCCTCTAGTGGCTGTCTCATTGACAGCCACTAGAGGCGCTTGCGTGCTTCTCACTGTGATTTTCACAGTGAGAGCACGCCAGCGTCCATAGGAAAGCATTGTAAATGCTTTCCTATGTGACCGGCTGAATGCGCGTGCAGCTCTTGCCGCGCGTGCGCATTCAGCCGACGGGGAGGAGAGGAGGAGGATCGGAGGAGGAGAGCTGGAAAAAGGTAAGTTTTAACCCCTTTCCCCCTTCCAGAGCCAGGCGGGAGGGGGTCCCTGAGGGTCGGGGCACCCTCAGGGCACTATAGTGCCAGGAAAACGAGTATGTTTTCCTGACACTATAGTGGTCCTTTAAGTACACAAATACATATAAATGAGGCAGAAAGTATTGGTACTCCTAACTCTGTTTTTGGGAAATCAAATATTGCCAAAAGTATTTAGTATCCATCATTATTTATTTCAAATGTAAAAGAACAGAAATTTCACTTTTGATTTATGACTTCAAATATTACTATAAAGTTAACAAAGCAAATCACAAAAATGTAGGTACTCATAACCTAATATTTTGTAGCACAGCCTTTGGGGGCAATAACTGCAATTAGGGACTTTCTGTACCTCAAAATCACATTTGAACACTTTTTGATTGGAATTTTGCCCCTTTCTTCTTGAGCAAACTGATCTAGTTCTCTGGGGTTTGATTTGTGTCTTTTCCCAAATGAGATGAGAGCGTTAGCTCTTTAAACAGATATTCAGTTGGATTTAGATATGGACTCAGCACTATCCAATGTTTTCTTCTCATTTATTCTTGGGTGTTTTTTGAGGTAGGTTTTGGGTCATTATACTGCTGGAGGATCGTCTGGCTGAGACACAACTTTCTGACACTGGGCAGTATGTTTTGTTCCTGAATGCCTTGATAGTCTTTCTTCCATTATGCCTTGCAAAGATTCTAGTCACCCAGTGCCAGAGGCAGCAAAGCAAACCCAAAATATCACTAAGCTATCACTAAGTTTCACGTTAGGGATGGTGTTCTTTTCTTTGAAAGTATTTTTTTCTTCTGCAAACATGGCGTTGCTATGACTTACATTACTTTTTTTTTGTCTGTCCGAAGGACATTTTCCCAGAACAACTGTGGGTTGTTAACATGCATTTTGGCAAACTCCAGTCAGAGTTCAGGGTGAATGGTGCATTACAGTCGTTGATTAAATTACAAGGGTTCCAATACTTTTGGCCACATCTGTACATGTTGAAGCTAAAAAAGTTGATTTTATGAGGAATTTTAAAGGGACATTGTAGGCACCCAGACCACTTTAGCTCATTGAAGTGGTCTGGGTGCACACTCCCATCACCCTTAACCCTGAGCCTGTAATTGTTGTAGTTTTTATAAACTGCAATAATTACCTGCTAGGGTTAACTCCTAGAGGGACCTCCGTGCTTGAAGGCGACTTTTGGTCGCCTAAACAACACTGGACGTCCTCACGCTATGCATGAGGAATTCCAGCATCACCGGAATCACCATAAGAAAGCATTGCATAATGCTTTCCTATGGGGAAATCATAATGCGAGCACGGCCATTGCCTTGCATGTGCATTAGGTGTCCCCCACCGGCGGACATCGGCAGGAGAGGAGCGTGGGCAGAGCTGAGGCAGCGCGGAGGGACATTGGCGCTGAACCAAGGTAAGTCACAGAAGGGGTTATTAACTAACCTCTTCTGAACCATGGGGTAGTGGAGGGGTGGGGGCTATAGTGCCAGGAAAACAAGCTGTTTCCCTTTAAAGTGGAAGGGGATTTGAGGTATTATTAGATGCACACGCCATGTCTAAACAAGTCAGAGGACTGGTCGGGAAGGGGTGCAAACCAGTGCAGCAACCTCTATAGGATGGAACCCAGAATGCAAAGAAACCAATATACAGAAATCAAATCAAAAAAATGTGTATTGATATTTTCAAGAAGATAGTGAAATAAAATACAAACAGATAACTGAATATAGAGGAAGTGCCTCTGGATACAGAGAACTCAAGTCAAAAGGACCAGGCCAACAACATTAACGAACTGGCAAACAAGAAGGTGTGAGGCTCAACTAAATAGGGAGAGGATAATTATAATGTAAGGCCAGCTGGGAACATAGAGAGATCTCAGTCTGGATGCAGCAGCCTGCAATAGCACCACAGACAGGTAGTGGCACTGTGAGGTACTGCACCAGACTGAGAATAAATCAAATTGTGACAAAACATGTGCACTGCTCAAAAGAATAAAGGGAACACTTAAACAACACAATGTAACTCCAAGTCAATCACACTTCTGTGAAATCAAACTGTCCACTTAGGAAGCAACACTGAGTGACAATCAATTTCACATGCTGTTGTGCAAATGGAATAGACAACAGGTGGAAATTATAGGCAATTAGCAAGCCACCCCCAATAAAGGAGTGGTTCTGCAGGTGGTGACCACAGACCACTTCTCAGTTCCTATGCTTCCTGGTTGATGTTTTGGTCACTTTTGAATGCTGGCGGTGCTTTCACTCTAGTAGTAGCATGAGACGGAGTCTACAACCCACACAAGTGGCTCAGGTAGTGCAGCTCATCCAGGATGGCACATCAATGCGAGCTGTGGCAAGAAGGTTTGCTGTGTCTGTCAGCGTGGTGTCCAGAGCATGGCCAGTACACCAGGAGACAGGCCAGTACACCAGGAGACGTGGAGGAGGCCGTAGGAGGTTAACAACCCAGCAGCAGGACCGCTACCTCCGCCTATGTGCAAAGAGGAACAGGAGGAGCACTGCCCTCCAGCAGGCCACAAATGTGCATGTGTCTGCTCAAACGGTCAGAAACAGACTCCATGAGGGTGGTACGAGGGCTCGACGTCCACAGGTGGGGGTTGTGCTTACAGCCCAACACCGTGGAGGACATTTGGCATTTGCCAGAGAACACCAAGATTTGCAAATTCGCCACTGGCGCCCTGTGCTCTCCACAGATGAAAGCAGGTTCACACTGAGCACATGTGACAGATGTGACAGAATCTGGAGACGCTGTGGAGAACGTTCTGCTGCCTGCAACATCCTCCAGCATGACCGGTTTGGCAGTGGGTCAGTAATGGTGTGGGGTGGCATTTCTTTGGGGGGCCGCACAGCCCTCCATGTGCTCGCCAGAGGTAGCCTGACTGCCATTAGGTACCGAGATGAGATCCTCAGACCCCTTGTGAGACCATATGCTGGTGCGGTTGGCCCTGGGTTCCTCATGTGGCTGGAGTGTGTCAGCAGTTACTGCAAGACAAAGGCATTGATGCTATGGACTGGCCCGCCCGTTCCCCAGACCTGAATCCAATTGAGCACATCTGGGACATCATGTCTCGCTCCATCCACCAATGTCACGTTGCACCACAGACTATCCAGGAGTTGGCAAATGCTTGAGTCCAGGTCTGGGAGGAGATCCCTCAGGAGACCATCCGCCACCTCATCAGGAGCATGCACAGGCATTGTAGGGAGGTCACACGGGCACGTGGAGGCCACACACACACTACTGAGCCTCATTTTTACTTGTTTTAAGGACATTACATCAAAGTTGGATCAGCCTGTAGTGTGTTTTTCCACTTTAATTTTGAGTGTGACTCCAAATCCAGACCTCCATGGGTTGAAAAATGTGATTTCCATTCTTAAATTTTTTGGGTGATTTTGTTGTCAGCAGATTCAACATGTAAAGAACAAAGTATTTCAGAAGAATATTTAATTCATTCAGATTTAGGATGTGTTATTTTTGTGTTCCCTTTATTTTTTTGAGCAATGTATATATGTTTATAATAAATACAATCAATTGTTGCAAATAAAAATATTAAAAAAAAAAAAAAAAATATATATATATATATATATATATATATATATTCAGTAAAATGTACACACACACACACACGTTCAAATCTACTTGATCTGAAGAACCATCCTCCACGGTGTCTCCGATGCCCTTGAACCTCTGCTGTTCTGCCTAACTTACCTTTGATTGATCTTCCACTTAGACATCTGTACTCCTATGTTATTTTACTTTAAAGGAACAATGAAACAATATAGCATTATGAATACAAACCTGTATTCCTAATTATATAGTGTCCTGGTGCATCTTTAAATTCACCCCTCCTCTTTTCAACTGTAAAAATAAAGAAAAAAAGTTTTACTTACCTATTTTCCAGCGCCGAGACTCACTCTGTGCTGCTGCCTGCTCTTCCTACCGTGACATCAGTGCTTTCCTATGAGCTGCATTGGGTTATATGATAAAGTTTCACTCTGGAAGAAAGCCACTAGAGGTGTTTAACCCTGCAATACAAATATTGCAGATTCTACAAAAGGGTCACTGCACCCAGACCAATAATAAAAAGAGAGCCACAGGTACAGAATAGTCTGAAAACTGCTCACAGGTGGCATGAAGGAAATGTACTAATACAGTAAAGTATTACACTATGTGGATACTTTTACTGGGAAGTATTACAGTATGACAAGATGATCAGGATAGAGTCGGGGAGTTTTTGGGTATTTCAGAGAGCTACCTAATGCACAGTACACCCCTAATATTCTTTCCTATGACAAAATACACTTAATTATCTGAGAGCTGGGGATTTGTCTCTGGGGATCCTAGGGTCGAGACACCAGAGCCAACACACAAAAGTGGCCCAGAATTAGGGAACGACCCCAACATGTAGGAGTGTTTGAACATTAAAAATCGGGTCAGACCTACCCAACGCAGAACAGTTGGGAGTTATAAAAAATGTATAAAACTACATAATCTAAGCTGCAAAACTAGGAAAATAAAATACCCAAACCTATTTTATCTTAAAATGTCTAATTTGTTTCTGAACTCACTATTTTGATACTTTCCCCTGAGCTTACACCAGTGTCATCTGTGACAGAACTCCCATACTGACTGAGAACCTCTGCTTAGTCCGCTTCCAGGGACCCTGGAACACCTCTTCCTCTGCCACTGAATTTTGATTGGAGTCTCTTTGGCGTTCGTTCCCCCAACCAGGCTGCAGCGCTGTCCTACCAGTCAAGTATCGTCCATTCTACCTATCCCACTGCAGCTTTCCTTCTAGGCAGGTATCCCTACCTCTGTCTGCAATGTGATCAGCTCTTGCATTTATAAAGGCACGCATATTCTCAAGCCTAGCTACAGGTACCATGCAGACAAACAACAGGTCCAAAGACTCTGTTATTAGGATCCCTGAACAAATTAGACACAAAACCCACAGTTCTAAAATGAACTAACATAGTCTGCTTTATTTTTAATTTAGGACTAGCTGATATGCTCATAACATTAAACTTACAGCGACAACTCAACAAAGTACAATTAATCAAATCATATGATGAAACACACAGGAAGTCTCAAAAACACCATAACATATTTATAAAGGGGAGGGGAAAACAACAAGTAACATGAACTATCTCTGCTGCCTGCAGAATTAATAATATGCAAATCTACATGAATATGAAAATGAACAAGCGTTGCTAATCAGGTAGTGAATATAGTGGTTTCAGGATCCCTGCAAACAACAGATGGTGCTGTACAGGCTCGACAGACCACAGCCAATCAGCAGGACAGGAGAGCAGACAAAACATTTAACACCAAACAACCACATTACACACACTCTGCACCCACAATGGGCACTGGGTAACACACATAGGACTCAACCACCACAAATCCATCTTATTCTCCCAGTGACGTTGACCACCATCACAACTATCCCAAAGTTATTCACTACAGTAAACTGGATGGTATTGAACCTAAATAAAGTTGTTATGGTGCCAGGAGGCCCCCAGACACTCTCTTAATTCAAGGTTTTAAATTGTTCCCTATAGGCAAAGTTGCTGCTAGCACCGATCTCACCCCCTCCCCCGGTTTCTGAAATTTCCGTTTCAGAAAGTGCGGCGTGCCGCCCGACGGGGCGCCATTAATTAGCTGAGAACAGTCAGCTGATGCTCTCAGCCAATCAGTAACTCGCCATTCACAAAACTGGCTTGGAAAAGGTACATTTAGACTTAGATGAAGTTGTTATGGTGCCTGGAGCGTTCTTATAAATTTCACATTTTGTGTCAGAAGTTTTCAAACTGAATATTTGACTTGGGAGAGGATTTTCCCCGACCAATCTGGCTATACTAGCCTGACATTTTAATTTCACTTTAAATTCCTGACAATAAACAAACAGATTGAATAAGGGCTACTCAATCCAATTGTTTATTGTCGGGAATCTAAATTGAAATTGAAATGTCAGGCTAGCCCGTGTGTTTGGGTTAGCAGCCTGCCCACATGCTGACACAGCGCTTCACACCGTGACTGGCCGCAGCAGTTGCTAGGCACCGGGTTAAGATGGCGGACCCCGGCGCAACTTCCGGTGTTCTCTTACCTGAATTTGCGACGTCACTTCCTGCGAATGGGAGTGACTGGTCGGAAGGCGGAGAGGGAAGATGGCGGCGCCGGAGGAGCGGGAGCTGAGCCAGGAGCAGACCGAAAAACTGCTTCAGTTCCAGGTGTGCACGTAGGGCAGCAGGGCGGAGGAGGGAGTCCGTGTGCAGTGAGAGTGCGCCATGTGCAGTGGGTGGAGGGAAGGGGGTGTAATGGCCGCAGGAGGGCCTGGCCTAGCTTTGTATGAAATGCTGGCAGCCATGACCCGGAGGAAAGGTGTGATTTCTAATTAAAGTGTGTGCTGCCATCAGACAGAGGGGGGCATGCTCTGTATGTGCTTACGGTGCCTGTAACATGTCCTTGCTTCCATTAGTGAGGCTTGAAGTGGTTATGGTAGTGCTAACTGGGGCCTGGTAGATAGAGGGTGCAAGGTCTGTGGTCAAAATGTCAGACTTGGGTTTTATTGATCTTATCTGACAAGGGGTCTCCCCAGATGTTTAACTTTGCAAATACCTGATATTGGCATGTCCAGAGAGCTGAGCGTGTAAGGAAAATTGTTGCTGGACAGCATGATGGCCAAAATATAAATTCCCCCCCCATCTGTTGAACTACAAATCCCTTGATGACTTGTCAGTGTACAGGTTGGAGAAGCCACACAGAACGTAAGCTGCTGAGTCTTCCTTTTGGCCATCCCTTGTATACAGTGATCACTCCAAACAGCTGTGTGCAGCCTGACTACTTACAGTGACATGTCATGATTCCCTTTTATTCCAGAAGTTTGGCAATTAAGGGGTTAATTGTCTAGTACTTACATAGGTTATAGTAGTGTTAGCTGGGGCCTGTTATATAGTGTACAGCACTGCTGAATTTGTTGGCGCTATATTAATAATAATATAATAGAGGGTGTAAGATGTACAAGTTCAAATGTGGAACTTGGGCTAAATTAATCAGACATAATGTATGATTATCTGACGAGGCTTTCCAGACTTATAACACTGCAAAAGGTTGATATTGTCATGCTCAGAGAACTGAGCATGTAAGTAAAATTGCTGCTGTACAGCGCCTGAGTACATACTCAGTGTACAGCAGTAAGCCTAGTTTCATTGAATAATACTATAGTGGTTTCCACACGTGCTTAAGTTGTAAAAACACGTAAAATTTTTAAAATAATTTAAAAGGTGGTCTGTGAAAAGTATGTTTATATGTAATTGCATCAAACGAGTTGAAATAGGAATTGCAAATTTAGTTGGTGTGATCTAGTACCTCAAGTTACAGTACTTGTGGCATAGAATACACATGCGATACATATAAAAAATAATATATATATATATATATATATATATATATATATATATATATATATATATATTTAAGTTAACAATAAAACACATTTTTCAACATTGTGTTGGTCTGCCAAATGTTATAGAACTTCATATTTTAGTATGATTGTCTCCATAATGTATGCTGCCATTTTATTTTTTAGGGCCATTCACTAAAATCAGAATTCAAAGTGAATTTCAAATTCAAGGTAAAAATTGCGAACTCTTAACATCCTGTAAGATACATTGGCCTTGTATTTGAAATTCACTTTAGTGAAAAGCCATGTTTATATTTATTGTGGTTATGACGTTAATACACAGGTTCGCTTCATAGCCCGGAAAAAAATAAGTTAAAGTTCAACATTTCCAGCCTCGAATGGCAACCTTAGACCTATAATTGAGCGAAATGACTATTCATGCCATATTCTCTTTACACCAGTTTTCCCATATATAAAGCATCATCCAGATAAGTGATTTGGCGTTCTTTTGCTAAAAGAGGGGTGCTAAAATATTATCGTCTACTGTGTGCCCATTCATTTACATTATCTACATATCATATCAGTAGGTAATTGGTTGACAATGGATATGCATTTACAGATTTTCCTCCAAACCCCATAGCATTTTTCTTTTTAGATAATTTCCATGCTAGTGCTTGGAAAGGTAGTACTATCAGACATGGTTAAATGATCTCTCCAAGGAACATAACTAAAAAAGCATAGCCAATTCACCGCCGCTTTTATTGTATCGATCTGCCAATGAGAGTGGCCCTGCTTAGTTCAGTGGAACTAACCGGATTCTCTTGCAATGAAAATCTGGATGTGGGGCATGTGTCTAAAGGGTGCCCTGTGGGACCCAGGTACGTTGACAAATTACACTGCGATGGCGCCGGGCACTCATGACACCATGAACACTACAGTGGCCTGTAATGGTTATGGTGCTTGGAGTGTTTCAGTAACATTGGCTTCTTTTGCTATCGTCTTGGACAACAGACTGTAAAAAAGCACGGAATAAAATATAGCATTTTTGTTGTCAATCCTGCAAAGCCCTTTAAATAAGAACTTTATAAATCAAACTTTTTACACGTCTGACTCTGTGTATGATTGTACCTAAGTTTGATTCATGCACTTTTCTTGCAATTAATTTTCTGTATGATAGTTATTTCTCTCTGAATCATTACTTCTCTTTACAGCAGCCACTGCTTTTGATTATTTTATGATTACAGTGGGGGTAATGTAAAAAGAGTAATTCTGGTGCAAAGTTTTAAATGTGGAGTGATCAGCAGGGACTTCCATTGGTTTCCATGGTGATTGCTCCACTTTTAGAACTTTGCCCAAGAGTTATCCTGTATAAACAAACACCTAACTTCTGAAGGTTCCAACATTCCAAGCCAATTGTAGTGGAGATGGTTTGAGGGAAGTAACCTACTTATTTTGTCATTTTTTCCTTGATTCACTATTTTATAAGTACGTTTACTAAATGCATAATTTCAATTTGTAAAGTTTATATTCTCTCAGTGGTAAACTTGTTTGAGCAGAGTCTTCAATAACCTTTAGTTCCTGACTTAATTAGTTTCTTACTTGATGTTTGTAAAAAAAAAAAAAAAATAAAAAAAAAAAAAAAATAAAATGCAAAGAGCTGCATAATATTTAGCTTGATATAAATGCCAGTGTGTTGGTTTTTGTGTTTGGTTGCCTGATTGGCCTTCCATAACACTGACCAATATTACATTTGTGGTGTTTAAAATATTGCAATAAAATGTTGTGTTTAATCTAATAGGTAGCAGAAAAGGGCATTCTTTTTTGAGGCTGTGGTGGGGAATTTAAAAACCCCAAAATGCTGCTCTACAGGAATGGGCAGGAAATATAGAAAGGATAGTCTTCATATAAAAGTAGAATACAAAATAGTCAAATAAGTGCTGGGGAGCTTTATTAACGCAAAACAGGTGTTGATTTGGGTGCAAAGTACTAAATGTATTAAATGTTTCACACCATGCCCCATAACAATTTCATCTCAATTAAACTATTGTAAGACACTGGTGCCAAAGGGGCTGAGCAGTCGGCTGCCATATAGACAATTTAGGATTAATGCATTTGAAAACTACTTAATCCCATTAGATAAGATGGTGCCAGGAACTCCAGACTTGCTAACTGAACGTTAGCTATGGGCTCTATGTACCTTATCTATGCATTGATTGCCATTGAATTATCCTTGCACAGCAGAAGCATATAATGCAAATGTGTGATTCCAGTTGTGCATGAAAGCTAATGCATATACTACAGCTTCCATGATGCTTTGTCGTTCTAAAGGCACACAAAGCATCATGGGAGTTGTAGTCCTATTAGGCACTCCTGCTTTAGTCTTTAGAAGGAATGAATGATTATTCATACACTCATATTCCAGTTTCCATACAGTTACTTAACTACCTTTAATCTTGGACAGACAGGAACATGTTGGACCTGGTGTTGGTCTGAGATTAGGGGCTGCTGTACTGTCTGTCAGTGTTTTATTTATCCTGGGTTAGCTGACCTAAAGATAATGGTTGGAAAAAAATCCTAAAATAAAATGTAAAAGCTATAAATGTTTTAGCGGTTTGGCTGTCACAATGTTTAGATTAAATAGCATTTTCTAAAAAGGAAAGGTACACTTTAATCACGGGTTTATCAAAAACCAAGTACTGTTTTGTAGTTTTATAACTTTTTTTTTTTTCTGTCAACTGTGTTTTCCAAGTATATATAGAGATATTAAAATCTGAAAATTGTGCTATTTTTTTTGACTAGTAGAGAATGAAATGCTTTGTAAACACAGGTTTATGATCCACAAGACCTGAGAGCAATCCTATTGATTTTAATTTCCTTCCCACATTGTTTAAGTAATGGGTTGTATTGTACCACAAAGCGGGATTGATCTGTACATTAAATAAATTTTTCATTGTATATTGGTATATTTTGTATATGCCTACATACTAAAATGATAAAACGCAGTGAATTGAAAACTTGTTATTGTTAAATTCTGTTAACTGGGTCTTTGCCATTCCAGACAGTAAAAAAAAAAAAAAAAAAATTTCTGTGCCAATTGGTATAGAAATTATAATAATATAAAGTGTTTATTATAAAAGTCATCATTTATGTAATATATAAATAATTACATTGTGTTATATGAAATGAGTGTAATTGGAATGTGTTTACCATAACATTGCTTGCTAAATTTAGAGAGACTGTCCCAGCTCCAATAGAGGTAGTTCCATAATCGCTCATCACAGTAAACGCTACTAAATCATTTACTGTGCTTATAGTGTAATTGTGGAAGGATGTCACATTTGCACCTCCTGTAGCACTTACATGTCCAGGACTAAGTCATCGCTCTGACACCCCAGAGGCACTTTACAGGTTTAGGGAGCTGTTAGGTGTAAGACCACTTTTAAAGTGTTGAGGAACATGAATGTGCCACACAGAAATTTAAGCGCTATAAATGCCTTGTGTTATCTGTACGTATTGTATCATGGGATTACATTTATTAGGGATCGTCCAATGTTACTTTTTTAGCGCCGATACCAATTATCGATTGCCCTTGAGGGCTGATAACTGGTACCAACCGACTGTACATTTTGCAGTTTTGAAAAAACAAACACAATTTTTACACAACTGTTAACTGAACTTGTTTTTTGTAAGTCTTTCTTTTATTGAGTGGTAAATGCACAAAATATACAGGCTAGTCAGAATTTTAATGTTTTCAAGAATGTGTGTGTAATTATGGCGGGGGGGGTAAGGTTCTGTGGGCTAAAAACTTTTTAAAAGATCATTTTGTATAATTATTACAATATTTAATAATAAAAAAGAACAATTCTAATAATTTAAATATTATTACCCCTTCCTGCCAAGGAGGGGCACATTACACTTCATGGTGGTCCATTGGCTTTGTGTTGGCTGCCATGGGGTGTTTCACAGTGAATTGGGAGCTGCTGGGACCTAGCACACTCTCTTTTCTTTTTGGCTGGTTCTCTCTGCAACTCTTGAGGAGCTGAAGATGGCGTGCGCTGAGCCTCCACCACCGCATTTTATACTTTCCAATGCTGCACTGCTCAATCCAACAAAGCATTACAAGTGTTTACCATGGTCTAGAGAAGTGATAGATGTGCTTTAAAAAAAAAAATAGCTGTGACAATTACCCTTTAACATGTTTCAGAAATGAATCATATCTGTAGAACAAATTTTTTGGAGGTTTGCTGAAAGTGAAATATTTGCTATGCAAAATACCTAGCAAATTTAAATTTTGCTTTATTTTTGCATTGGACCACATCCTTGCTAAGACAGACGCTGTTGCCTTGTTAACAGAATTTGATTACATGCTATACCAATGGTTTCTGGCATTTTTTTTTTTTGGACAAAGGCACATTTCAATGAGCGTCATATTTCCTTACTAGAAAGATAGTTATTGCTGGGGAATTGAGCATCCTTGTTCTCATGTATTTGGCAAGAGATGTATTAGGATATATGGTTTTGCCATTTTTGTAAGTAGGCATTATGCAAAGCAGTCCATATTTAAAGGGTTACTATAGGCACCAAACAAAACTTTAGATGTTAGGTGTAAAAATCATGATGCTACAGTGTAACAGCTCAATTCTTTGCCATGTAGGAGTTAAAACACTTTCTTTATGCTGCCCTAGTCACACCTCCTTTCATGCGACCTACATGACCATCCTAAACACTTCCTTTAAAAGAGATCTAATGTTTAAACTTCCTTTATTGCACAGTCTGTTCAATTTGGAGTTTATCGCGTGCTCTGTTAAAGGAACACTATAGCGATAGGAATACAAAAGTGTATTACTAAAGCTATAGTGTCCTTATGCACTAAAATGATTGTCCGCCCCCGCCAAGTAAAGAGTTTATAAAAATAAACAAACCTTTAAACACTTGATTCCACAGCTGAGGTCCCTTGGAGCTGGGTCGGGATCCTCATCCTCTGACTTCGGCAAACTGGGGGAACCTAATGTGCACAGCTCAATGCTTTCCTATTAGTAATATACCTCCTCCCCCTCCCCCCCCCCACTAGAGGCAGTCTTAAAACTACAATGCAAACATTGCAGTTTCTCTAAAATGTTTGCTGGATTAAGGGAACAGCGACACTGCACCTAGACCACTTCAGTGAGATTAAGTGGACTGAGTGCGTGTAGTGTCCCTTTAAATTAGTATTGTTTCTCAAACCTGCATTAATTTGTACTTTATAAAGGTAATTGGTTTCAATATTTCTGCCTTTATGTATATGACCTCAGACTTAAAAATCCACCCAGTGAGTGTAGCAATGGACATGACATCAGTTCCTTCCAGTTAACCATGCCTGAGGCTCTCTGAGAAGTGGAGAGACACACAAGTACTTTTAATGCTAGGGGGAAACATAGCTTCCTTTGGTTGTGTATCTATGTGAGGAGCTGCCCTTTGCCACATATTCCCCTCCCCCCCCTTATATTAGGTCTGTTATAAAGAACTAGGAAAAGGAAACCAGGGTGTAGGTAAATATTGCACAGTAACCTGTAAAAGGCAAATACATTCTTTGTGTTTGGATGGGCTTTTATAAATCCTCTCCTTCTTGTGTTGGATGGGTATTTTTAAAGGGTACATAATCATCAAAGAGGCACACTGTTGGGTGCAGCGTACAAGCTTAGTTCCTCCTTGTATTTGTAAGGTTACCTACTGAATGTAAGACCTTCTACTACTGTGATTTCTCACATCTGTTTTCATATGTTTTTTAGGACCTTACTGGTATTGAGTCAATGGACCAGTGTCGCCAAACTCTGCAACAACATAACTGGAATATTGAGGTACTATTAGTATGGTTGTATATGTATAACTAGTTAAAGGAACACTCTGGGCACCATAATAACTTCATCTAAATTCTTGAATGGTTTAACCCCAAAGTCTGTGTTCCAGCGCTGAATCTCCCTGCCTCTCTGTCCTTCTGTTTTATAAAATTCTCTAAAACCGGTGTCCTTTTTTTCCACTGCTTATTCATATTGTTGCTGAATGACAATAAAACTTTTTAATTTACCACAAAAAAATAATTCACTAAAGCCAAAGGCTCTTTCAGAATCGGGCAGTGGTGCTGCTGATTGGCTCAGAGCTGTCACCTGATGCTTTCAACCAATCAGTAACTCCCCTTTCATAAAAATGGCTTGAAAAAGTATGTTTCTTTTAAAGCTAGTTTTATGGGAATTCACTGATTGGCTCAGAGCGTCAGCTGATCAGCAGTACAGCTGACCCATTCTGCTAGTTTTTGGTTTTAAGAGTATTTTAGGGAAGGGCAAGGAGATTCGGCGCTGGAACACAGACTTTGAGCTTAAACTGTTTGAAAAGGCAGCACTAGGGACCTCCTGGGACCATATCAACTCAATTTAGATTATTTTTTATTTTTTTTATGGTGCCTAAACTGTCCCTTTAAATTTATACATACATTTGCAGAAACCTAGAGTCTGAGATCTAGGTTTCAAGCACTCCGAAAGCTGGGGAAGTGGACTTGCTCTGTATACCATAACAGAAGAGTGAGCTTTTGGGGTTCTAAACAGCCTATTATCCTGACTCTCAGCACTGTGCGGAAGTAATGAAATGACATGTCCTCCCTGTACTGTGAGGAAAGGTGTCACACTACAGCAAGGTGACTTCTGATTTCTATTTCTGTCTGGATCTGTGGAGTTCTCAAATTTTCTGTTACTGTATATCATCCACCAGCAATATCTCTTCCACACCTCTGACAGTCTGTTTGTCTCTTCATTTTATTTTTTGCTTGCTTTTCCCCTGCAGGCTGCTGTTCAAGACAGATTGAATGAACAGGAGGGTGTTCCCAGTGTTTTTAACACCACCCCCAGCCGGCCATTGCAGGTTAACACAGCGGACCATAGAGTATATAGCTATGTAGTATCCCGACCACAGCCAAGGGTATGTACAGTGGGATTATAGATCTCAACATTGGGTGCTCTTTCTTTGTGATACCTTGTAATATGGGTTTCTTCTTATAGGGGCTTTTAGGATGGGGTTACTACCTGATCATGCTTCCATTCCGCTTCACGTATTACACACTACTTGATGTTTTTAGGTAAGTTATCTACATTACCACGTAAGTTCATTTTTTGCGTAAACCTCTACACCTCTACACATGCAGCATCTGCCTTATTTCCAGGTTTGCTATTCGTTTTATCCGGCCAGACCCACGCAGCCGAGTCACTGACCCAGTGGGAGACATAATTTCTTTTATACAAGTGTTTGAGGAGAAATATGGCAGAATACACCCTGTGTTTTACCAGGGAACCTACAGCCAGGTAAGAAACTAAACTATTTGCCTGTCTCTGTCAAACCATGCATTATGTTGGAAAGTGCACCAATCTCAATGCGATCTGTCGTGGAGGAAAAGATGATATAAAATATATTTTTATAGATTCATTTTCTCTGCAGAGTTGCAATTGTTTGAACAGGGATTTTTATAATAACTGATTAAAATGCCATCAAACTTTTCTTTAGGATGGTGGAATAGATTCAAATGAAAACTGCAGTAAAAGCACTTACATTTTTACTACACCCTTATTAAAGGGACACTCTAAGCACCAAACAGCTTAAGCTTCATCATGTGATTTTGGTGTATAGATCATGCCCACTGCAGTCTCACTGATCAATTCTGTGCCATAAGTCACTTTGTTCATGCATTTCTACAAAGTTCCTGAAAAATAGTTTTCATGTTTTTTGTTTCCACTATTGCACATCGTTTTAATTTAGATTTTTTTTTTTATCTCCTGCGCTGTTCATAGCCTGCTAGAGCCTACAGCAGCCTCATGTGGGTGATTAAATCTGAAGTTGAACAGATCAGGAAATAAACACTGTGCTGTAAAGTCTGATTCAAAATTAAACAGTTTTTTTTGGGATGCAGAGTGTGAGTGAACAGACAGGGGAGATGTGGTTAGGCCTGCATAAAAAAGTGATATAAATGCAGATAATTTATCACTGGAGATCAATTCTCACGTTCTTAAATAAAACCACCGTTTTTGCTTTTAATCTATTTACTAAGACATGCTTAATCTAGACAGTCCTTATTCTCTTCTGTTTATGAGAGTTATGTGATACTCTTACTTTTTCTATACTTAGGCCTTAAATGATGCCAAACAGGAGCTGCGCTTCTTGTTAGTTTATCTACATGGTGAAGATCACCAGGACTCTGACAACTTCTGCAGGTGAATCTACGTTTCCTGGAAAATGTCACTCATCTTAGAATACTTTCCTCACCCATGAGATAACTTCAACAGTAATGATAGATATCGTTCTATTGACTGCTTCTTTTGTTGGAATTTTTTTTGTTTTGGCTAGATAGTATTCGTTCTGGATGAATGTGATGCTGCCAAATCTTTATGCAAATCCGCTTTGTGTTGAGAGCTAGATATCTACTGTCGGTCTCAATCATTTAATGATTGGGGTTTTTTTTTTCTCTTTTTTTGTCACTTCCATCTAGGAATACACTCTGCACACCTGAGATAACACACTTTATCAACAGTAGGATGCTGTTCTGGGCATGTTCCACAAACAAGCCAGAAGGATTTCGAGGTAAGCTTGTATATGTGTGCTTTTGTTAGAAATGGTCAGCTGATTCTAACAATTTGTCTTTTTCTCCTTTTAGTTTCCCAGGCCCTACGCGAGAATACCTACCCCTTTCTGGCCATGATCATGCTGAAGGACCGCAGGATGACAGTAGTAGGGAGACTGGAAGGTTTAATCCAGCCACAGGACCTAATTAACCAGTTGACTTTTATAATGGAAGCTAACCAGACCTACCTGGTGTCAGAGAGACTGGAGCGGTATGCCTCAAATGATTTTTGCCTTGATTTATGCTCTAATATGTATGTTATTCAAAAAAATATGCTGGTATAGTCTTCTGACACTTTTTATTTCACATAGAATAGCATATACATATAACTGAACTTACTATTTCCAAACATGAAAATCCATACATAAAATCTGATTTTTCACAGATCAAAGAAATATTCCTAGACAAACAAAATTAAAGTACAATCATTTTTACCTGGTTTATTTCAGGTAAAGCATGGTCTGCAATCCACTAGACAATAGCCACAGTGCTGAACCTTGCAGGACTATTTTTGAGATGTGATGTATCTGCTATCTGTATACTCTTCTCCCTGCATTATCCGTTTGCTGGATCACTGTCTTTCAAGTTTTCTAGGATAGTATGTTGTATGTATGTTGTGTCCTTTACAGATTACGGCTATCACAAGGACTAAGATAAATAGCCTCTTTATACTTGTTTGGAGTTACCCTGGGCAAACATGAAATGTTGGTTTTGCTTTATGCCCAAATCCTACACGTTTGATAACCTCCATTTGTTGGTTGTGAATACAAACATGTCATTTTGAAACCAGATGCATAACTTGATGTTATCACAAGCAGACACATACTAATCTTTTGTAACTTCGTGTGTATTATATAAATCAAAGTTTTTTGTTTTTTTTTAAATTAAACACTAAGACACGGTCCCATTATTATTTACTATATTCTGATAATAGATTTTACATAATATATGCAATAAAAATGCAGCATATCCAAAGGTATTGAGTGCTGTACTGCTTCAATTGATGTTTAATACTTGTATTTATATCATGCCTAGTAGATAGTGAAGGCCTATAGTTCTAGAAGCATCTAACTCTTACGCACACTTAAAACTCCTTTGAATAAAATACGCCTGCTGTGATTTTTAGGCTGTGATTTAACATCTGTTCTTCTTGAATTTTCTGTGAAGTTTGACTACTAGTGTTTTGGACATATAACACTGTGAAGTGTAGACCCAACTTATTCTACCTCATTCGTGGTCAGGATAGTGTAGTCAAATAACAAAATCTACTCTTTTCCTAGAGAGGAGCGAAACCAAACACAGGTGCTAAGACAACAGCAGGATGAGGCTTATTTGGCATCCCTGCGTGCTGACCAAGAAAAAGAGCGCAAGAGGAAGGAAAAGCAGGAGCAGAAGAGGCGAGAGGAGGAAGAGGCACAGATGAGACAACTGGCAGAAGAGAGGAAGAAACGGGTAATGTCTGAAATTTGAAACCGCTAGTTCTCTATTGATTGCAATGTTCATACATTCCTTATACAGCAGTGGCTGTTTTTTATTTTATTATTCAAAGCGAATACAACCGTGGTTGTTCTTACATATTTTTTTTATTTTTAACTGAATGAATCACTTTGCATCTTGTGCATATAACTCTGTATCCCTTGCAAGTAACATGCGAAGGGAGAATGACAGCAGGAATGAAGTGCTCGCTCCTCTGCACCTTTTTCCTTCAAATCTTGGCAGAAGCTGCCAGGATCCACATTACCTTTGTACTCTCATGCTTCAACAAGAGTACAAATTGGAAATTATTGCAAGAGACCATAGTACAATGATTTGCACTTTTTTGTTGTTGTAGGTATTTATATGGCAAAGTAGTCTCTTTGCCACGTGTTCCTTTTTAAAACTTTTTTTTTTTCCTTTTCTTTTTTTTAATGCTGGTATATGAAACCTAGCATTCAATATAATATTGTTGAATAAGCTTTCCAAATTTATTTTGTATTTTTGGATAAACTTTTAAAATTATTTAATCTTTTGAAACACATTTCCATTTTGCAATATTTTGATATTTCCATATTTTTACATATGGTATATTTTTATGTTTTAATATGTTGTTAAAATCATTTTAGTAGTTTATCCAAAAATAAATGATCGAAGGAAAGCTTCTCCAACAATATTAACCCCTTAACGCCATTATGGCATTTTATGCCGTCCCCATTATAATGGGCTTTAAAGCCGTTGCGGCGTCATAGAACGATGTAACGGCTTAAGCCCTCAGGAGCCTCCAGATACCTTCCCGGCGATTTGCTTCGGGAGCACTGCCTGACAGCCCAGACAGCCCTCCCCTGGAAAATCTGGCCCCTTATAGCTGGCTGTGGATCTGCCTGCAGGGGGACTGTCTAGGCTGTAACAATCCCCCTGCTGATGGGAAGAGCTAAAAAAAAATATATATAATTGTTTTCAGTAAAAGTAAATTTTTTTTGCGTTTTTCACAAACGAACTGCAGTTTTACTGGCGATATTGTTGTAATATGTTTTACTGTTTTGAAACACTTGTGTTTGTGTTCAGTTAAGTCTCCCAAGTATAACAGTACCCCCCCATGTACAGGTTTTATGGTGTTTTGGAAAGTTAGAGAGTCAATATATAAGGCTTGCATTTCATTTTTTTTCCACATTGAAATTTGCCAGTTTGGTAATGTTGCCTTTGAGACCGTATGGTAGCCCAGGAATGCGAATTATCCCCATGATTGCATACCATTTGCAAAAGCAGACAACCTAAGGTATTGCAAATGGGGTATGTCCAGTCATTTTTAGTAGCCACGTAGTCACACTGGCCAAATATTAGTTTTTTTTCTTTTTTCATACAAAAACAAATATGAAGGCTTACTTTGGCCAGTGTTTGTGACTAAATGGCTACTAAAATGCAGTATCATGACATTTAAAGATAAAATGTCAGGCAGGACTACAATTTTTTTTTTTTTTTGTAAATCTTTGTTTTATTGAAGCGTTTTATGTTCATTACAGAAGGGAAGAAACGGAAGAATGATATATCAGCGAATTTTCAGACATTTGCAAGAGCTTATATCATATACACATTCACATTTATGTCTGCTTCATTTTATGTTTTATGAGATGTCGCTTTTAGCTCGCCATGTGTGGTTATGGTAATGCACTAACAGTGTAGGTTCGCTCGGATGCTTGACTGGGCACTTTAATGAGAAAACAACGTAAGACTATGGATGGTCTTAAACGTGTGTTGAGCCGGCAATTTATAGGACAGGCTAAGGTCGTCGCTTAGCTAATACTATATTGTTATATCAGTAAACAGGCTAGTCGCGTTGTCTCGGTTAATGTCGCTGCAGCATGTCATCTATTGTCATAGGCTAGTTTTGTCTCGTTTCATTCTTTCATTGAGCACTCACGTGTTGATTAAGGGGAGCGGACTAATGGAGATCGCAAGAACAACTGGTCATATCTCCGTGAGCGGAGTAGGTGTGTCACATAATGTTAAGCGCAAGCTAGTTGTAGCTAATGTGCTAGATGTGTGTATGGTCTGACCCCCGGTCAGAATCGGGGCCGGGTCTGCCGATGGTCCACGTGTTTGTCGGGCTCTGTCAGGCAGGATCGTGGAGTGGCGGCTGTCCACTCCACAAACCGCCAGGCGAGGTCCTGCCTGGTGCAGCAGGGATCTCTCCTCTGAGGGACTAGAACTCCGGGAGCAAGCCTCTCCTCAGCTCAGGCAGCCTGTTCACTTCGTGGGTCACAGCTACAGGCAAGTAATCCCCCCAATAATCTTGTTTTGTAAGCTTTGCAGGTTTCATTTTGCAGGAGCTGTGCTCTCCTGCGACCGCTTGGCGGCCCGCCCCCGCCCCGCCCCCTCTTCTTTTTTTTAAATCTTAATTTCTCAGTTTTTTTAATTTTATTCATAAATTATGTTTCATATATGAATAGTGCATGAGACATTAAAGCCCTGTTTCTCCTGAAAAAAAATGATATATAATAAGTGTGGGTGCACTTAATGTGACAGCGGTGAATTACGGTTGAACAGACATATAGCGCAAATTCTAGTTTTTGTTTACATTTTGTTTTGATCAGAACGTGTACTATTGACTCAGTCCTGAAGGGGTTACATTGAGCCCCTAGTTTTTTAATGGTAAAGTATTGCATGTATGCTTCCTGAACAAAACATTTTGCAACACCAGTGCTTTTCAGCAATCTGTAACTGATCTTTTAAATTCCATTATTGGGGAAGACAACCTAAACATTTTCCAAATGTATTAAAGAATACTCCTCTGCCCAAACTATTCATTATTATTAGTGTTCCTTTTAAGTTTTATAATTGCATACATAATCAAAATTCTCACATCCCAGAAAACACAATTATCTAAGCCTCAAAATCCCTTCACCTTAGTGAAGTAATTTTGAGGCACAAATGCTGTCCGTGCAAACGTGCTGCTGAAATGAATCTGTTTTAAATGTTGAAATGCCCACGACTCTGAGTTTTAGATACAAGCTACTACGGCTTCCAGCTGAAATACATTTAAGTGAAAAAGTATTAAACATGAACATTTAACCAAAATTCTATCAATCAATTTGCATTCACTGGTTGCTTGCTAGTAAGCCCATTTGTGTTGCCATAAGTGGTAGGAAGTGGGATACAGACTGTTAACTGGAGTGCCAGCTGCAATATCCTTATTATGAAAAGCCAGGGTGCTTGTTTGCAGAGAGAAATTAGAATTTTTAGTTTTTACCCACAGGAATTTTTTTCAAGGGCACCACTTACCACCAGCTTGTTACAGTGTTACGGAAAATATGGATGCCATCTTACAATCCGTATTGTTTGTATTAATAGTTAGACCATGCAAATGACACGCTGTGAGCATTAAGCTGTAGTTGAATTTGGCTGTGAACATTGACTGTTTCAGTCAGATCCAAATGATTCTACAGGCAATAGATATTAAATTCCTCATTGTGTTGCTGGTGCTTAGTATGACACTATTTTTTAAAAAAATTTAATCAATTTTGTAGTTCGGTGTTTGAGAGACCTTAACACAAATCAGACAAATGTACTATAGTGCTCCTTTAATGCATCTCTTTTCTTTTATAGAACTTGCAGGAAGAGAAGGAACGCATATCTGAGTGTCTTCCTGCTGAACCCCAGCCAGACCATCCTGATACTTTGAAAATTATTTTCAAGATGCCAAACGATACAAGGGTGGAGCGGCGGTTCCTTTTCACTCAATCGCTATCGGTTAGTGGTCCTTATAGGAGGCCAATTTGTAGCATTTTGCCGAGTCTTATTTAGTCTATTCTAAAAACTGCCTTATTTGTGGTACAATAATTGTGGCTAAACAAACTCTAAATTAAGCTATCCTTGTATTAATTTGTATTTGGATATACTTCATATGTTTTGGATTTTGATATATTTTGCCAGATAGAGCTGGCATAGAGTCAAGCACAAACAGTGCTTTATTGTTTGTAAAGATTAAAGGTTGTAGAATTTGGCATGTCAGGGTTGTGTAGGTGTGATCATCATGAATAACTCAAAATTATGTTTAAGAAGTAGGCAATGCAAAGTATTTTAAGTGGGCCATGTCACACTTTAAAAAAAAAAAAAAAAAATTTCCCCACACATACGGCATTGCAGTTTGTGCCAATATAGGGCAATAACTACTATTCAGAGTACAGAAATACCCCACAAATTTAAATCTGAACCCCAAGTGGCAATGTCACTATCAGGAGTCTTGGCAAATTAGTACAGCTGCCTTTATGCAAAACATTTGCTACCAAACCTGACAATGCAAATCAGTACTACTGTACTAATTGCCTTATTGTACTTGCAGTCTGTTTTTTGTCCATTAGTTACTTTTGGTAGGCTGCGGGTCTGCCAGAGTGCAGATAGCACTGTAACTAGTTACATGGCTATATGTAGATTAGGACGTTTCCACTAATATATGGAGATCAGAGACTTTTGTCAGGGCATCAGCCAGTGATCACAAAGTGCCCTTAGCAGCAGCAGATCTGAAGGTTGTTTACACTGCTTACTAGCAATACTCTCACAGTTTAAACGGAGCCGTTGCTGATAGGGGAGATAGAAATAAGCCTAAGATCGGTAAACTATATTTTAAAGCTTGTTTAAGCTTTTAATTCAGCTTAATGAAATGGCTGATCTGCAAACACTACAGTAGATTGGTTTGAGAGTCTCGCCGTCACTGGCAGATCTCTTGGAAATAGCACTGTAACTTAATGAGGTACAGCGCTATTTGCACTTTGACTGTTTCACCATATACCTGTAAATATAGCAGAGGACTCACATCTTACTAAAAGTAAATCGAGCAATTGGGACTAAAGGGGTTTGTCATGTCTGCACAGCTGCAATTGTATCATATCTAGCCTCTGTGAATAGTAAGATTTTAATCTTAACCCTTTCAGGACGGAGTCAATAGTACACGTTCTGATCAAAACTAAATGTAAACAAAAACTGGAATTTGTGCTATATATGTCTGTTCAATCGTAATTCACCTCTTTTTATATTAAATGCACCCACACTTATTATATGTCAGTTTGTTCAGGAGAAACAGGGCTTTAATTTTATATCAAATATTTATATATGAAACATTTATGAATAAAAAAAACAAACTGAGAAATTTAAAAAATTTTTAAAAACAATTTGTAGTTCCTCCTCACGTTTTAGTTGTAAATGTCATAATACTGTTAGCTTTTACTGAAAAAAAGCACATTTTTGGATTCAGCAAAGTCTCACGAGTACAACAGTAACCCCCATTAACAGTTTTTACCGTGTTTTGGAAAGTTAAAGGGTCAAATATAGCACATTCCATTTTTCAGTTTTTTCACATTGAAATTTGCCAGATTAGTAACGTTACCTTTGAGACCGTGTGGTAGCGCAGGAATTAGATTTTCCCCCATGATGGCATACCATTTGCAGAAGTAGACTACCCAAGGTATTGCAAGTGGGGTATGTCCAGTCTTTTGTAGTAGCCATTTAGTCATAAACACAGTTAGCATTCATATTTGTTTTTGTGTGAAAAAAGCAAAAAACTAATATTTGGCCACTGTTTGTGACTAAGTGGCTACTAAAATTTACTGGACATACCCCATTTGCAATACCTTGGGTTGTCTACTCTGGCAAATTTCAATGTGAAATAAATGAAAGGCAAGCCTTATATTTGACTCTCTAACTTTCCAAAACACCATAAAAACTGTACATGGGGGATACTGTTATACTTGGGAGACTTCACTGGACACAAAAATAAATGTTTTAAAACAGTAAAACATATTACAACAATAATGTAGTCAGTAAAAGTGCCGTTCGTGTGTGGAAAAATGCAAAAAAAGTCACTTTTACTAAAAATATTGTTGTAATACAAGTTAACATTTTGAAACACTAATATTTGTGTTCAGCGAAGTCTCCTGAGTAAAACCATACCCCCCCATGTACAGGTTTTATGGTGTCGTGGAAAGTTACAGGGTTAAATATAGTGCTTGCAATTCAAATTCTCTGCACTTTCTGCCTGGGTTGTCGGGCATGTCAATCAAATTTGAATTAATTAAATTACATAATTATGTTAAAATATTACTTAACTATACACGTAGAATTTTAATTAATATATGTGTGTGTGTGTCTTCGTGTACACTTATGTAGTTATTTGTGTGTGTATATATATTTATCTATCTTTGTATATGTATGTATATGTGTGTGTGTGTATATATTTATTTATTTGCGGTTATTTGTATTTTATATATAGATTGATCTAGAATGTCATTCTAAGTGTATTTTGTGATATAGATATATAGATAGAGATATATATATATATATATATATATATATATATATATATATATATATATATATATATATATATATATATATATATATATATATATATATATATATATATATATATATATGAGATATATTGACAGACAGTCCCTCTGCTGGCAGATCCGCAGCCAGCTATAGGGGCCCCCGGGGGAGGGCTGTCAGGCAGTCCTCCCGAAGAGGATCGCGGCGGTGGTAAGTAACTGAGCTTCTGGGGCTGAAAGCCGTTACGGCGTTCTATGCCGCTGCAACGGCTTTAAAGTCCATCTAATGCGGGACGGCGTTAAGGGGTTAAATACTAAAAAAAAAAAAAAGAGATCACTCAATAGAATAACTCCTAAGAAAATGCTTTATTAAACAATAAAATGTATAACAAACATGAAACATAAAATAAAGTGACAACCATAAGGCAAAGTAAACAATGATAATTACCACAATTTCCACAGGCCTATTTTGGCAGAAAGACGAGCCACTATTTCTGTTACATATCCTGTTCTTTTCCTTTTCTCTTTATTGCTATTTACATTTGGTGGGTTTTCTCATTCATGACAGGGCGCGGGTGCACAATCATACAATACAGTTACGCGTATTGACAGCGGGACAGGGCTGGTTTATTCACATAGTGGCGCATGCGCGTGTAGACGGTTCATTTGTCTGCCATCAGTACATATAATAGATATATAATGGATTTTTACGGATGCGCATGCGCGGGTCTGTTCATGAATTTATCTATTCAGGATCTCACTAGTATATACAGTGAGTTTTATTGGAATTCCTGTCTATGGGGTATGGTTTATTTCTATTGATATGTTTAAGGGTATGTTATTACTGACCGAAACCGGAGGTGATGTCACTTCCGGGGTCAGATTAATTCGTTCACTGATGACTATCAGCTGTATTGGGAAATATAAGCAGATACTGGTAAGCCATGATACAAACACCCTTGTTAAAGGCAGTCAGGAGGTGTTGAAACATTGGGGGTTTTATTGGCTTGTGTTTCTGCCAGAATAGGCTTGTGGAAATTGTGGTAATTATTATTGTTTACTTTATTTGCCTTATTGTTGTCACTTTATTTCGTGCTTCATGTTTGTTATACCTTTTAATGGTTTAATAAAGCATTTTTTCTTAGGAGTTATTCTAGTGTGCTATCTCTTTTTGTAGTATTTGATTTTATTTGGGCACTTGAGGGAGTAATTTTGAGCATTAGCACCTAGCGATATTATCTCAGTCATATGGTCTCTCCATACGGTCTTGTTATAAGATTTTATCTTAAGTCATGCAAAAATGTATTTGTTATTAATACAAGCATCTTTTTCAGGTGATTCACGATTTCCTCTTCTCCCTGCAAGAGACACCAGAGAAGTTCCAGATAGTGGCAAACTTTCCACGTCGGGTGCTGCCGTGCCTTCCCACCGAGGAAGTCCCTGTGCCTCCTACACTTCAGGAGGCTGGACTCAGCCGTTCACAGCTCCTGTTTGTACAGGATCTCACAGATGAATGACATTAAATATATATAAACATATATATTTTTTTGCTTCCCAACAAAATTGGGAATGAAGGAAAGAAAAAAGAAAAAAAAAATGCAGGTAGGGAGAAATGAGATACATAATCTCATTAAAAACATTATTTTTTTTAATGACTGCTGCTACTGACTTTGGATCCTGGTGACCTTGCCTAGAAAGGGAAGGGGGGGGAAGGCAGTGTGTAGCAGTGGCTTGTTTGTTATTTTCCCCCATTGGAAGGGGACAAAGGCCAAGTGACCATGAACTGAAAAGTGCAAGGAGATGTTGCAGGGTTCTATATGTATTTTTTTTTTCTCTCAAACTGACATATTGTTCCTCCTCTGGGAGGGAACCTTGCATCCCTCTCCACCATGGCAAAAGAAGAAAATCTCTACGGAATTACCCACATTCATCCTAGCAGGTGGTGATGTGGTAAACTGTTGTTGGGTGTATTTTGTTTATTTTTTTTGAGGAACAAGAGGAATATCATTTCCTCATACTGTATAAAACACCCTCTTCCTTTTCATTTTTTTTTTTTTTGCTTTCTAAAAGACCAAAGGAGAGAGATTGGCAGCTGTCATTGTACCTGATACAAGCAACTTTCAACTGATCCTGCGTGTAACTAAGCGTGTGTGATGGATCTCGCTTTGGGACAGGGGATGATTATCAACCCCTTGTAGTGTAATAAAGGCAAAATATAGTGACTGGTCTCCCTGCTTAGATGCCTTCTCTCGTCACTAGTATTCTGTATGTCCTGACTGGACTATATTCCAGATTATAATTTATTCCAAATATAAATTAAAACATTTTAGAATTTTGTTGTGTGTTAAATGTATACCTTAAATGCTTGTGAATGTGGAAGGGGCGGGGGAAGCATATATGTGTGAAACATACTTTCTGCACATATTGCTGTTGAGTCAAGTAAATCTTTCCCCAAGTTTCAAAACTATTCAAAACTTTCTCAAATATTGATATCAACAATTACCCCTATAATAATCATACATTGCATATGATTTGAGCTTTGCAAAGAAAACATTCTCATTATTTAGCAGTGTTTAAAGGGACACTGTATTCACCAAAATAACTTTAGCTTAATGAAGCAGTTTTGGTGTAAAGATCATTCCTCTGAAGTCTCACTGCTCAAGTCTCTGCCATTCATTTTGTTTGTTTATTCAGCCCTTGCCACACCTTCCCTGGCTGCATGGGGTGGGGGGGAGAAATGGTTTCCTTTTCAATCAAATGTAACTTATTTGAAAAGTTTATCTCCTGCTCTTTAAATTAAATTTTAAATATCTAAAGAAGGCTCCTGCACAGTCAAGCAAGCTATTAACAGAGGAGGAGATGAGAAATTATTGCAAATTTTACTTTACAAAGGAAGTATAAACATTAGATGAGTGTTTATAGGAAGTGTTTAGGAAGGCTGTGTAAGTCAAATGTAGGGAGGTGTGACTAGGGCTGCATAAACATAATTTTATTCCTAAATGGTAGAGGAGTGAGACTGCAGGGGCATGATCTTTACACCTAAGCTGCTTCTTTAAGCTAAAATTGTTTTGATGCCTGTAGTTTCCTCTTAAAATTATTTTTCTGGCTTTTGGAGTTATCTAGTAGCCACCTCTAAGGGCTTAGTAGTTAGGTTGCAAAAAACCCACCACAGACTAGCACTATTCCTTGGAACCAACTAATGTAGTTAATGTAAGCCACTGTAAAAGCTAAATGTACTATGTAGCTGCAACAGGTTGAGATGTCAAGGTCTGCAGCAGGTAATTTTGAAAATAGAACCTGGAATATTAGAGCAGGAATTTCCCTAGAAGTCAAGAGCCAAGTAAAAAGATTCGTTATGGCATTTGCTTACGGGCAAATACATTTTCTGCCTAGTGAGAGTGGACAGGGAGGCAGTGTTTTGTTTTTAAACTGTTAAGCTGTTTTGGACTTATCTAATATTAGGAATTCAGGCATGCATTCCTAGTGTTATCTATTTTAATAATTTAGCCCTCCTTAATTAAACAGAATGCCTTTTATTTCACTACTGTGCCAGTCTTGCTGGAGTGGCTCCTTGTGGAGAGATCAGCTGTATTGCTGATCTCAAATAATCCAATGCTTCCTTACAGGGAAGCACTGACAATGCAAGTGTCTGTGGCAGTTGCTTCTCTGTACAAGTGAGTATCCCCTAATTGAGAAGCATTTAATGCAAATTGCAAGGTTGCTGAATGTTGATTCTGCAGTTTTTACCCCCTATGTATCTCATTAATTACATTATGCTCTTGTGGTTCTGGTGCCTGCCACGTCCCTTTAAACTCACATTGAATTCTTGACACTTTTCGCCATAATGAATAACAATGTTCATGTACTCTTCCCTGCCAGTAAGATGCTAATTTTATTTTCTTTTGCTTCTTCTGGTAGTCTCTCGCCTTGCTTAAGTATCACAGCCATTGTCAATGCTGTGTTCTCTCACATGGACTGCTATATGTAAGATTGTGCAAATTGGCAAACATCAATGGAATTTTCCACAAATCTACAGATTAATGTAGATACTAAAGGCAGCTGTTTTGCTGAATAGTTAGTCGTACATTTGAATTCCTGTGCGAGGACTTGTGAACTATATAGTACTTTCCTTTCTTTGCTATTGATACAATGACCAGTATTTAGTGTATTAAAAGAAAATCTGAAAGGTAAACAACTTTTTAACCTTATTATAGGACTCTTTTAGAGGTAAATAATGCTTGGAGTTTGAACAAAATGTTTTTAGACAAGTGCTGTTCGTAAGTCAGTAATGGTATTACTAGTGTCATTGGTTTCTCATTGCAAATTTTAATGTATTTAAAACTTCCTGAGATGGGTGTTGTGCCAAGATCCTGCCCCTGCCAGATCTTTAATTCTAGAGAAACATTTTGTCTGTGTAATTTTGCCTCTGTGAGTTTGTCACTCTGCCATCTTGAATGGCAGTATCCATTTTGTGCAGATTTTACAACTGATGTCATAACACCAGATCCTTTTGAACAGGCTGCCGATAGCTGGGTAAGTTGTTAGTGTCAGGGATCCTGCTGCAGCAGTGTAATTTTCACAGTCCATGCAATTAGGATTGAGAAGCTGTTTTTGAACACTGCCTGATGTAGATCCAGAGGTAAAAAGGAGGAAGACAGACATCACCTGTTTATGATAAGTGAGATTCTGGATGTGTCCAGTGGGAGTTGAAACATCTGCTGTAAATCGATAGTCAACCACCTACTAAACAGCTTATGTATATCTCAGAGTACCCTAATTAAAGGACCACTTTTCCTGGCACCAATCCCTTACCTCTTTTCCAGCGGCGCTGGGACTCTCCTCCCTCTTCTGATGTCATCAGCTGCATGCGGGGCTAGAGCCACGCGCACATTCAGCTAGTCTCATAGGAAAGCATGGCTACAGACGCTGGCGTCTTCTCCCAGTGAGAAACGCGGAAGCGCCTCTAAATGAGACAGCCACTACAGGCTGGATTAACTCATTTGTAAACATAACAGTTTCTCTGAAACTGTTTACAACAGAAAGGGTTAATCCTAGATGGACCTGGCACCCAGACCAATTCATTAAGCTGAAGTGGTCTTGGGTGCCTTTAGTGGTCCTTTAACTAAAACCAAGCTCGCGGAGGCAAGGTTTGGTTATTGACAGAGTTGGTGGTTTTATGAAACAACTTCACAGATCTGCCACTACAAGTGAAGTCTTGTGCACCAGTGCCATGATTACATTGAAGCACTTAGTATGCCTCCACTGGCTGTCAGTGGATTTATGGTATGGTAACAGACATGCTCTGCCAGTGGTGTATCCTGGTTTTGTGTATATCTCTCTACTCTTCCCTCCCCTTCCTTAAAATTCATACAAACTAGAAGTGATACTAACCATAAGTTTACTTTATCAACGGCTATGGGGGTCTTGCAACCACAGCCCTGCCATTTGCCATTCTTTCTACAGTAAGAAATATGGATTTCTCCAAGAAATGTATCCACCAGCCATGTTTTTCTCATCCCTTTCACAGATCTGCAAATATTGGCTCATTTGGTAATTGGCTGCAACTTCCAGGATGGTCCAGATCTTTGATACTTGAAGTGTGTATGGGGCGACATAACTCAGTGTATAGCTCTTGGTGTACCAAATCACAAGAGGGAAACTTGGACTTTGATCCTTGCAATGTTACTCCTTGATGCAACTACAGAAAACTAAAAAACCTGATCCAGTTACTGTAGTTTAGAAACTGTACTCCATGCATCTAGAAGAGCAATAAATAGCGCTCTGGACAAGATTGGAAAGCAATAGCCAGTTATAACACAAGTTAAAAGATTACATTCACATATCTAAAAAAGGGACCCACTGCAAGATACCTAGAGTGTTTTAACAGACCAGAGGTCTTACTACTGCCAATTGGCAGAGTAACTATTACAATTATGAAACGTCACTTTTGTAAAAAGGTGGATGGCATTGAGTGGCTGGGTTGGCTTAGTACTCTTGCTCATCAATGCCATTAGAGTTTGAAAGAAATTCTGATAATTACTGACAGGGAGCCAGTATGGAGGCTCTCCGTTCAATGTTATAGTATACAGCAGTATGGATGTCCAAGTTTCTTTCAGACTTCTCACACCCATTTGTTAAAGTTCTTGTGAGTCGAAGTGGTCATAGTACTTTATTTTTATGTGCAGCATTTCTCAGTGAAATATATACTCCAAGCACAGATATCAGAGGTGGAATTCCATCTCCAGCAGTGTCATTAGCATGCTCATAAAATTCTTAACTGCCAGTGTTCGTTCTGAGCATAGAAAATGCACAGCTTTATTCAGCTCATTGCATGCTGGTGACAAGACCAACAGTGGCTTTGTGAAAGCCCCCCATACCAAAGTCCTCCCACAGCCCAGTTTTTCCCAGATAGAGGGAAATCTTTGAAGGAGAATTTGGCTGCAGTGAGGACTTTGCATCGGCATATTAGTTAAACACAGACTGCATGGGGCAGTTTAATAGTAGGATCAAATAAAAGACAAAAGGTGGAGTAGATATTGTCCTTGTACATTTATTAGTGAAGAACCCTCTCAATTCAGCCACAACATTAAAAAAAAATAAATGATTGCACTACCAGGTCAAGCAAAACTAGCAACTTTCATTTTAAAAAAAGTACAAATCTGTTAAAAATTTCAATCAGTATACACATATATAATACAATATTACTAGTTATGTTAAATGCTACAAACCAATATTATTCCAATGGAATGAAAAAAATAAAAACCAAAAACACTTGATAGCTTCAAGAACCATTTTCTATATATTAGCATTTTTCTTCAAATACATACATGGGAAATGAGGTAACCAGTAAATGTGCAAGTACCAAAAGCCAAAAATAAAAAGTTTATATATAGAGATATATCTATATATGCATACACATATAGATATACAAGTTCTAACACAGAAGACACCTCCGGGACCCTGAGTAAGGGAAGCCACAACTCTGGGGGCAGGAATGTTAGTGGGAGGGAATAATTGAAAAGTCAGCCCAGTGCGAGTATAGGGTCCGGGAGGTTAGAATGATACAGTAAACAATTCATTGTATCCCACCATAGGGGTATAGAGCAGAAAATAAGTATGCAGCAGACATCCTAAATCAATGAGTTGTACTTCAATAGATGAGGTGATTAAGTGCTTCCGTTAAGCATACAGCAGCCCTCAAGCTATGATTGCAGGGTTCCTATAACGATTAGTGGAAGAACAAGATGTACTCTAGCAAGTGGAGCAGGGATGAATGTATAACCCTTTGTCTGTTGGAGGCAGCCTTATTTTGTGTAGTAAAAAGGTTTGTCAACATCTGCAGCAGCTAAGTGATTTAACTGACTGGCAGCAGGTGGCTGCCTTTGTCTAGTCAGAGTTTGGTGATAAATTGTATTGATATTGAACTATATACACAGTAAGACCTTTGGTAATTTGTGTGCTGTATTCCGTTTCTGCTGCAGACAGTGCTGCCTACATCAATCTCCTTTTGTGACAGCTGTTTTAAAATAAAAATTTGTTCAGGGAGCAGTGACCATTTTATTAGTTTGAGGGAATGGGGATGATGGCAAAGATACAATCGCGCTCCAGCATGTGGAACATTTTAAATTTCTCTACAGTTTTTGCTGTTTGAGTATGGCTTAAAACCCTGTGCCCTGACTAACTGCTGTGTTACAGTAAAGCAATATTGGGGTGATGGATAAATGAAAGAATGCTCAAGGTAAACAGCATTGAATGTGTTCCATTGGAGACTATCCACCCTAATCAGATTAAAGGGGAAACCTACACAAAAAAAAAAAAAAGCCACAACATTGTGAAAGAGGGATATCTTTCCATGCTTGAATGGACACTTCAACACTTCTGACTTCATATAAAATATAGCTGTGCTTCCAGTGCATTATAACGCAACAGACATTGGATGACCAACATGCCCAACACTCTCCAGTGAGAACAGCGAAGTCTGAGTGAGAGCTAGACATCAGCTAGCCTCTTTACCATCTATTAACAGGGGAACTATTGCATCTACACAAAGACGTTTTGTTACATTGATGTCTTACATCTGACTGAATCCAACACTAGTCCACTGCCCCTATTTGAGGATTAGGAAGCAGAAAATTGTCACACCAAGTCCTATAATGTAAAATGGACACTACCATTAGTAATCATCCTACCATATATTTAGTAGAGTAACCAGGTGGTCAAATAATCTTGGAGCAGTAGAGTTGTCAGATTTGATAATTTGAAAGGTCAGTTTAAGTTTCCCTGGTATATAGGAAACCTTGCCAAGTCAGTTTGGCAACCTCTTTACCCCCTATAGTTTCTGTATATAAAATGCCATGGTACTCAACTTTTAAATATTTGAGAGCAGAGTATTTATTTTTTTTAAGTGAGGAAAAAAATAATAAAAAAAAAAGTGAATGGGATCTAAACTGGGAATGAAAAATAGAGCTCAAGTAGTATGCACTTGTAAAGAGTTGCCTTTATGAAATCTGACATGCATTGCTCCAAAACCATTTTACATTTAAACTGAATGATAAAGTTAAGGTTGGGGCCCTTTAACTACAAGTGCTCCATTGACCGGTAAGATTAGACCATGCGATACCTGCACACTACCAATCTTTATTTTAAAGGAGACCATGGCATTGGTAGGTGTAAAAAAATAAGTGATTAGATAAATAGTTAAAGCAAGAGCAGTCATATGTAGAGGCATTTTACATTGTTATCCTTGGGTGTTGTGGGCCTCACTGTAAATAACATTTGAAAACTTAAAAACCCAACGCAAACAATCCCTGCCCGAGTGTGACCTTAACAGGCAACAAGACATTCATATATCCCTACAAACAGTTCAGGTGCCTTCTGCTTGGCAAACAAGTGCACAGCAGGAATCAGCTCAGCATGATACATACCCCTATATAATGCTTATCCCATTCCCACCCTCCCCCCTCCCCCTCACGTCACTCCACAGACGGCCAAAGGTTAGCAGATACCATATTCCAAGCTGCTCAGACATGCATATTGTGAAACATAAAGACGTAGTCTTTCTGCCTGACTGTTAAACGCGCACACAGACCGGAAATGGTTGACTGGCTCATGTGGTTTTCATTGCTGTCCTATCATGCAAATTCAAACTAAACAAGTTGATAAATAAGGCAGCCACTCACCCACGTTCCTGTGTGTAGTACACACAGGGACCATTATGGGATAATGCGGGTACCAAGTGCATCATGCTCACAGTATATAGCTTGGTGTGCTACAGTACCCTGCGCTCACACCAATCTGCAAGTGTGAGAACCTGCTGCCTAACAAAATATATTGCAGAGGCATTACCAGGGCTCTTGATACAGGGATTATACACAACTAATGAGCACAAAGCATGTTAGGAGACAATGACCCATCTTTGGGTCTAAAAACAATTAACTTGACAGTTTGTTCAAATAAAAACTAGGGATAATTTGCAAGGCATAACTGTAACTACATTTTCATATGTCACTTTGTAAAAAGGAAAATTTAAAGCACCATTGTTTACTTAATGGGTTGCTCCTAGCAATGCAGTTGTCTAAACCAGTCTCCGTTTAGAGTATGGGCACAGGGAGGAATGAATTAACTGATGGAAATGGGAAGGATACAGTGGCTTCCACTCACATTTGCCACCTGGTAGAGATTGCTGGAGGATACTGTACCTCATGTAAAGAGCACCTGTATTTCATTTGATTTCCTCTCCTAAATTGATAACCCAAACTAAAGTGAATTCATATCTGAATTCAAAACATCGAAATATTAAAACCACCAATTGCGGCTCTCCCAAAAGAATTGATGTATATAGATCCAAAGGCTTCTCCTGCATTTCCACAAAAGCTGGAATGGATTGGGAAATCACACAAAAAAAAAAATACACAAACATGTCTATGCTGAAGGTTGGCTACATAATTAAAAGACAGGGCAATGTAATGCCAAGATTTAAAAAAAAAAAAAAATATAAGGTCATTGGGAAGGGATTCAAGGTTTAGGAAATGACCTAAGATACTTTAAAATTAAAAGAAATTAAAAAAAAATGTCCCCAATTAGGGCTCCAGTGCAAACATTTAAGAAAATAAAGCAGCGGTGAAATTTCCCTCAACTAAAAGGGCTTGGCAGCAGAAGTTTTAAAAACAGGGTGTCCCTGGTAATGCCTCAAAACCCTTTGGGGCTAGCACTGGCCATAATGACCCAGTCTTTTTCTTGTAAGCCTCAGCTACCCTTAAAAAAAACAAAAAACAAAAAAAAACCTAGAGGAAGGGGGCGAAAGAATCCCATCCATTTACATCTCCAACACAGCTGAAATCACTTCCTAAGCCCACTAGTTTGACAACCTGTGGGCATGGTGGGAAGTACAGAGGTGCAGAGGTATTAATATGGAGAACATTGAATGTGACTCGACACCACCTCCAGTTCCAATACTGCTGTGTCCTCGCCGGAAGGACAGGTGCAGATGGAGAGGAAAGCTGAAGCATCCGAGTCAGACAAGGAGGCTGGTTTATTTTGTGTTTATCCCTCTGGGTTTGTGCACCGGCAGGAGGCGAGGGGAAAACGCTCAATCTTCACTCGCCATCTCTGTGAGCTTCAGAGGCATCAGCCCGGCATATGGGACATGTGCGGTTTGACTGCAGAGGGGAAAAGAAAATCCAGTTATCTATATTAGTAACTTCTAACTGAATATTTCATGTTTTTGCACTCCAATTACCAAAACATTGCAGATAATGTATAAATAACCCATACAACATCTAAACAGCTTGTTTAAATTAAACCCTTAAATGTATGTCCAATTCAGACTGGATTGAGATTCATAGAAAGTGAAAGTAAAAATAATATTGACATGCACATCCTCTGTATTCAAATTTAGGAAAATACTGCTGGACTGCCTAGTATCTACAGTTAATCTTCAAGCAAGATAATTTATTAAATCATTCTTGCTTTTTATTTCTGGATCCATTAAAACACTAGTGTATTGCTTTGTGTTTGTAGTATTGAAAACAGTTTATGCTTAGAGGTTTAACAACTGAACACAGGAAAGTTAGAGAACGTAGCTATTCTTGTGCATTCCCTAACACACATCTTCAACTGCTCTCTTCTGGCACTGTCCCTGCTGACCTTTAACCCCTTAAGGACACGTGACATGTCATGCTTCCCTTTTATTCCAGAAGTTTGGTCCTTAAGGGGTTAAAAAATTTTTTTTATAAAACACACACACTTGACCCATCCTCCCCCTGTAACTATCATCCCATATGCCCCAATCCCTTTTTCCTCAAAGCTTTTGGAAAGACTTTTCTTTACCTGTGTGTGCGCGCCGCTTCCTTAATTCCAACTCTCCTTGACCCTCTTCAGTCTGGCTTTCGCCCTATCCACTCTGAGACTGCTCTTATCAAAGTTACTAATGACCTAATCGCAGCTAAATCCAAAGACCACTACTCCATACTAATTCTTCTTGACCTCTCTGCTGCCTTTGACACCGTTGATCATGCTCTCCTCCTTCAAAATCTTCAATCGCTCTGACTATCCTCTCGTGGTTTTCCTCTTATCTCTCCCAACGCTCATTCAGTGTCCTTTTCCAAGGATACCTCCTCCCCTCGTCCTGTCTCAGTTGGAGTTCCCCAAGGGTCTGTCCTTGGTCCCCTTCTATTTTCTCTTTATACTGCCTCTCTTGGCAAACTTATAGCCTCTTTTGGATTCCACTACCACCTGTATGCTGATGACACTCAGATATACCTCTCCTCCCCGGACCTCTCCCCTGCCGTCCTGCAACATGTCACTGCTCGCCTTTCTTCCATCTCTGACTGGATGTCCTCGCACTTTCTGAGAATCAATCTCAAACTGAACTCCTTGTCTTTCATCCTCCTAATACTGATCCTCCTCTCTCGCTCTCCCTTCAAGTCAGTGATATCCACATAAGTCCATCCTTGCAAGCACGCTGTCTTGGCGTCATACTTGACTCTGGCTGCACCTTTGAGCCTCGCATCCAGTATGTTGCCAAATCCTGTAGATTCCAACTTAAAAACATAGCCCGCATCCACCCCTTTCTTACACGAGATGCTACCAAGGAGCTTGTCCATGCTCTAGTAATTTCCTGCATGGATTATTGTAACCCTCTGATTGGTCTCCCCAAAAGCCGCATTGCCCCGCAACAGTCTAATGAATGCCGCCGCCAGACTGATTTTCCTCTCTAGTCTTTGCTCTCACACCTCACCCCTCTGCCAGTCTTTACATTTGCTCCTTGTATCCTATAGGAGTAAATTCAAAGTGCTAACCCATACATATAAAGCACTGAACAAGTCTAGCCCCTCCTATCTCTTCAAATATCCATTCCTTCCGCTCTGCCCATGACCACCTCCTGACCGCTGCTCGCACACATACAGCCAATTCGCGCTTGCAAGACTTCTCGCGGGTGGCTCCCTTCCTATGGAATAGCCTGCCTACCCCATCAGACTCCCCTAGTCTTCAATCGTTTATGAAGTGCCTTAAAACATCTCTTTAGGAAAGATTATGGCCTCCCAGAGTAACCTCTACCTTACATACCTGGCTCTTGCTCTCTCCTCCAGCTCTGCTTCACTCCCACCTTATTTGATTGATATTTCCTGTCCTAATGTCTTATACCCCACCTCCTATAGACTAAGCTTGTTTGAGCAGGGTCCTCTTCAACCTATTGTTCCTGTAAGTTTTCTTGTAATTGTCCTTTTTATAGTTAATCCCCCTCATAATATTGTAAAGCGCTACGGAATCTGTTGGCACTATATAAATGGCAATAATAATTCAGATGTAGGCAGCTGTAAAAGATGCAATCGAAACAAATGCTTCAAAGAGCCATTTAGAATTGTTACAAATTAGTTGATTTCTGTATAGTACAGGATAAAATTGGTTAGCCTTAAAGGACCACTATAGTGCCAAGAAAAAAAAATAAAAAAATTTCCTGGCACTATAGGGTCTCTAGGTCCCCCCCTCCCCCCCACCCTCAGGGTCCCACTCCCGCTGGACTGAAGTAAAAAAACAAAAAAAAAAAAAACACCCACACTTACCCTTTTCCAGCGTGGGCTGGGGAACTCTCCTCCCTCTGCCGAGGTCAACGCCGAATGAGCAGCAAGAACAGCGCGCTTATTTCTCAATACATTCCTATGGACGTCCAGCGTCTTCTCACTGATTTTCACAGTGAGAAGCCCGGAAATGCCTCTAGCGGCTGTCAGACAGCCACTAGAGGCTGGATTAACCCTAATGTAAACAGTTTCTCTGAAACGGTTTTCAACTGTAGGGTTAAAACTAGAGGGACCTGGCACCCAGACCACTTCATTGAGCTGAAGAAGTGGCCTGGGTACTTCTAGTGGTCCTTTAAACTGGTAAATTGAATACCTTATGATTTAAGGCAGCATAACCAAGTAGACTTTTTTTCCAGCAGTTCTGGCTGGTGCAGTCAGCTCCCTCTCTTGCCTGATCACCTGTTAATTAATCCACTTGGATGCATGCCCAGTTTTACACCAATCAATGCATTTTATTGCAGCTTTTTGCAGTGCCTTCATCATACTAGACATATTTAAAGGTTTCCATAAGGAAAAATATGGTTCCAAGTCCAGTCAACAAGAAGAAAAAAAAAAACCACACGCTTACCTTAAGCCACTTGTCAACACACTTTGCATGGAACTCATGATTACAGGGTAAAACTCTAAGGAGCTGTCGGCTCTCAAAGTCACTGAAGCATACCACGCAGCTGCAGAGATAAAGATTCATAAATAAGGCTACTGAAACAGCCAAGACACAGAACCCCTGCCACATTTAGCAAAGGAAAACAAAGTGTAGAAGTTACGGCCTATAATATAAATAATTCCTTCAGAAAATACATGAATACTTCGAATTACATCTCTCAATGTGTTTGGAACTATTTGTTTACTAAAGGAAACTTTCTTTCCAGCTGAGCATGACAAAAACACTATCTCCTAGTATTATTAGCATCCCACTAAAATGCCATTCCAAGACTGAATAAAAGTAGGTTTCCATGAAGTATGGCGACTCACAGTGTCTGCTCAGATTGGTGGCTCTCTGTGTTGAAGCGATAAGAAGGAAGCTGCTCAATGTGGGCTTTAGTGAGTCCCCGTGGTTTTGCTTCTCCCAGTCGCTCTGCTAAATTCAGCAATGCCTGCATAGAAACGTTATATTACAAATGGAGAAGAGCTACACCATTGCAAACTTAATCTATAACCTATGCATTATATTGCATGCAGCATACCTCGTAGTTTTCCATTTCCACATCATCCACATCCAAATCTAAGCTTATGGCTGGTCCAACAGAGGTGGGAGACACAGGAAGCATAGAACTGTGAAGAGAATAAATACATTTTAAAGATGCCTATATCAAAGCTAGAGTGACCTTAAAGAAGCATTCCAAACTTATAGAGCATCCCTTTAAAATCCCCATTTATAAAAAGTGCCACTTTCATAATACGAACACCTCCCCAACTGTCCAAACAGCTGGAGAGATTCACTGCCTAATTCTGTTAGCTTCACTGAGCCAACCGAAGTAGTGGGCACTTTTTAATATAGCGTGCCTGCCTTCCAATATTCGCAGCAAATAATTGGCCGGGAGCGCAGTTGCAGGCTGACTGATAGGAGGGAGAAGCATTTTCCTCCTGCCATTCTGTTCTTGTAACATTATCCCCACTGAGGCTCTCAGCAGACCTTGTAGTGTGGGGGAGCCGCAGGTAGAGTATCTTCAGTTTCCTGTACCCAGACTGACCGGAAGTGCTCTCACTGAGTAATTCCGGTCAGTCCAGTTGGAGCAAACTGAAGATCCTCTACCTGCGGGTCTGCAGATTGGCCATACTACAAGAGCAGCCGCACAGAAGGAGGGAACTGAGTCACTGAAAGACTAGAAACAGAGGCTTCTCTGTTATCTGTGAAGTGACTGCTTTAGACTATCCCAATGAATACGTAAAAATATGCATGTATTCATTGGGATTTATCTATTAAACAGAGATCTAGGGCAGACTATAATATATTTGAAATAACAGCAACTATATTAACAAACATTTTGCTAATATGAGGGGTACAACTCATGGAAACTACCAAGGGGCATGCAAATGAAAAAAGGTTGGGCACCACTGCCTTAGATGCAAAATTCACTTTGCTATGCTTCCAGTTCAGCTACTTTGGTTTCTTGTGTAATGTCAGATTTGGAGGCTTTCCCACTTCAGCCATTTTGTTCTCAAATTTGAAATTCACTTTAAGGACCACTATATGCATCCAGACTACTTCAGCTCAATGAAGTGGTCTGGGTGCTGGGTCCCCCTAGTTTTAACCCTGCAGCTGAAAATGGCAGTTTCCAAGAAACCGCCATGTTTACACTGCAGGGTTAATCCAGCATCTAGTGGCAGTTTCCTTGACAGCCACTAGAGGCCACTTTTGCAATTTACATGGAGTAAATTAGACGCTGGATGGCCTCTGAGTCCAGCATCAAAAAAGATCCCCATAGGAAAGCTTTGAGTAATGCTTTCCCATGGGCAGGTTTGATTGCGAGCTCCACTTGGGAGCAGATGTCTATGGAGGAGGAGAGGTCACCAGCGCCGAGAGAGCCTGGGGCGGAACTAAGGTAAGCAAATAAATGGTTACTTAACCATGTATTTGCTGCGGAACAGGACCCTAGTCATCTAAAAACAATGACTAGGGCTCTATAGCATTAGGAATACATATTCCCAACACTATAGTATTCCTTTAAACTGACAATTCCCACTTTAGTAAATAACTCAGACATTTAACTGAATAATGGAAGGTGAAAGGGATGCAAGAACAGTACAGAGGAAATAAGTGTCAGGCTATAACAGGCATGAAATATGTAACTCACAGGAAGTAGGGCAGAAAACTTGGGTAATATGAAGGAGGCAGCGGGGGAGGTGGCAGTGGCTGCTGAAGACGATATCGTTGGGCATTCAGTCGCCGTGGCATCAGATGGGCATATGGCTGCAAGAAAGAAGGAAATTAGAAGAGTGTAAATACAGAATCTTTTTCCTTTAGGCCAAAGGAAAGGGGGGAAATTGGTAGATCCATTCACTCATTCTCTATTGCTCAGCTCAATAGTGTTAAGGTGTAGATTTCTTATTTATATAGCTCCAATTTTTTTATTTTTTTAACTAAAACATTTTACAGCATAAGCTATAACGCATAATTGTTCAATGCTACAGTTTTTCAGAAGCATTTGACTTACCACTGGAAAGGAAAGCTCCTGGTGCAGTGCATCATGGGAGAGGTAATGCATGGGCATTGAGTGGGACAGTGCAGGCACAGGGTGGGAGTGGTGGAATGGGAAGTTGCTCATGTGATGTTGATCCCCTCGAAGATCTAACTCATTGTCTATCCTCTGCAGTGGCTATAGTAACAAGAAAAGTGGAAGAGGCAAATGTTAAAAAGGACACGCAAAGACTTTCTTGTGACAATTGTTTGCATTCATCAAACCTATTGCTTTACAGATGTTGGAATGGATAATGCTAAAATAATCTGGTGCCTTTTTGCCATGCAGGTTCGACACCATATGTACACTTTTCAAACAAGCCAATCTTAAAGATGCAAGTATCTGAATTGTAGGACACCAATCATTCACACGACAATTTTAGTAGCTGTTTTGAAAAAAAAAAAAATATTTAAAATAAATGACTTAAATATTTAAGTCATTTTGTCCATTCAAAAGAAGCAGAGCCACAAAAAACAAAACTCACAAAAAAGTAAATAAGTCATGCTCTGTTCAAATTTGAGAATTTGCATTTTCTACAAGGAGGCTAAAACAAATAGACAGTAGATCACAACAAGCATCAATTCATAATGTTTAAGTGCCATCTTTTTGAACCAAGTACTGGAGATCATTCAATACATCCAGACATTTGGCAGGTCGACAAATCTGAAGATTGTAAAGGTAGATGGAATGACAAAAAGGATATGTACTGCCTAGTTTGGCAGGAATAAAGCTTACATTTGGAAGTCTATTCAGATGTTTTACCAATGTCGGTACTCTCAATTCACATTAAAGAGTGAAAATGTCCATATATACTTACCATTCTCTGCGGTTGCACGGTAACAAATGGCGCTAGAGAAGCCAGAGGAGGTGGCTGCTGCGGAGCCATTGGTGGGTGCGGGTGTAAGATGTAATGCTCCCCAGAGAGTAGAGGGGGAAATGGCTGGTACGTAACAGGAAGCTGCTGCATGGTGCACCCCGGAATCAACTGTAATGGGGAAAGGATTTTACAGCACTTTGTGAAAATGGCAGCAATATGCAACAAAAGAAATACAGTATTTATTCAAACATTAAGCAAACAGATTGGCCAGACACTGACACAGTCAAGTAAATTCATCAACCCAGAAAAGGAGAGAATGGGAGTGTAAAAAAATAAATGAAAATTAAGACTAGAATAGTCAAGTTCAAAAAAAAAAAAAAAAACTCCATCTACACAAGTTGAAAGTTTGTAATTCCCTTCTCATCTTAAAATATGAAACCAGAAACATATCCCAACTTGATCTTTGTACACTCTCATTAGTAAGCCCATACTGTGTGTAAGCAAGTTCTAATACTCTAGATTGCTGTGCACCCCAGATCTGTGCAGGTCCCTAACATTTGTCTGGAAAATGGCTGCTTTGCCCAGCACAGGTCTTCATGACTTCCCACTCCCTTGACATTTAGTCTCCATGGGGTAAGTGGTCAGCTTTAATGTGATCAGTCACAACCAACCCAGTTATAGCTCAGACACAAGCTGCTTCCTCTTTGGGGGACCAATATAACCCCCACTGATCCAAATGGGAGGCAGGAGACCAGATGCTTGTATCAACTAAATAAAGGCTCAGAGAGGAGCCGAAACATTGTCTCCACTTCCTTTTTTCAAATTTTAAAAACCAAAAACAACTTTTAGAAGAAACCTCAGGTGTGCCTGGATATTTTTCTTCCATTTGTATCACAACTAAAAGCCGTGTGTCCAAGCCACAGGTTCGGCAGCAACTCCCGACTAAGGAGCAGACAAGCCCAAACAGCAACAAACTCCGGAATCCACTTCCACCTGTCAGTGAGTGTATACATATATACTAGTATACTTTAGTTTGTGTTTGCAGTCCTTGTGTAAAATAAAGAGCTCCTCAGCAATTATTAATTTTAAGCAGAAAGTGTACTAACTGTGCAGACTTCCAACATGGCAGTCAGGCAGGCTCTGCCCACCTGTGTATGTAAATTCTAGTTAGTCTAAGGTAGGGGGTAAGCAAACTTTGGCACTCCAGAGGTGTTGGCAACGCATAAGGGGAGATTTAGTTCACACCTAAAGTTCTGAAGGTTGCCACCTACCCCTTGTCCAATATAGCGGGAATCAGAACCAGACATTTTAGTTACAATGCAAGGGTGAAAAACCTAAACGTAATTAACAAGCTCAAAAGAAGGCTACACCAAGGCTTTGCCTAGAAAAAGAACCCTTTACAGAGACTACGTGAAAAGTCTAATTTCACACAAACTATGCGTTCGACTACTGCTCATACCTGAAGACTAATTATCAGTTCACAAAGATCTTGACCCATAGGCTTTTATATCCCATTACCATGTCCAATCCACCCCTTGCTGTACATTGAAATCTCAGAGTATAAAACCCATGTAGCTTTGAAAGCCTGGGTTATTTTTGCCATGTACATTATTGGTTTCACCTGTATTGCAAGTCATGCCACAATGCAATACCTACTGCTGGTCAAGCCCCCAGTCAGGGTACATCTTGCACGCCAATTTAGTGGCTTCCCTAGCCAACTAGTACAAGTCTGGGAAGTCATCAATCGTTAACTCTTTACAGTTCAGCATTTGCCCACAAACCAAGCTCCAACCACAGCTTCTGTGTCGCATTTATGTAGTGCATATGGTTAATACAATTTACATACATGTGCAGAGCAGTAGAATACGCTGTAAAATTAAATATAGGAAGCTCACTAGCATATGGTCATCTTACAAATGAAGTGTTTCGTGATCACCAAAACATGGCCACTAACTAGTGTTATGGTGGGAATTATGAGAACTTTAAAACCAAACGGTTTTATTTGTTGCAGAGGAAAAAAAACAAAAAAACAAAGAAACAAAAACACTATTTTTAAAAACCCACACAAACCCAAAAGAACCCTTCTAACCAAAGAAATTCAGGTTTCCCTTTATGAAATTTATATAAAAAAAAAGATAAAAAGCAACATCAGGCTGAAAACATTTGTTGCCATGGTTTGTAGATGTTACTTTGCCACATTGTACATTAAGCCCTTTCAGATCCCACTCACCGGAGGAGGCAGGCAGCAGAGTGGGTAGTGCTGCCCACTGAACATGACGGAACATGCTGGCAGTTGCTGAGTACTACACCCTGGGATGTGCTGCCCAGTGTGCAATGGGAAGCCTTGGGTGGTTACTGTTGTAACAGTGTATGATAGAGGGACAGGTCCCTGGTGCACCTAACAAATAGAAAAAGGGGGAAACAACTCCAGTTACAGTTTTATTTTGTGACATTATGCAAGACAAACTTTCAAGTCAAATGATTTAACAGTAATGACCTCAAACCTAAAAAAAAAAAATATCTTGCCTGACTTTTTAAAATGTGTGTAAACCAAGTTGTGAAAGTAATACTTCAAATAAATAAAGTCCCTGCCAGTGCCTTCTCCTTTCAGATTGAAACACTGCACAGCCAGGAGTAATTGGTACTTGTGTGCAAGAGCTAGTTGCAACCATGGCACACATGACCTAGGCAGCCCAGAATTGCCCAATGTCAATTATGTGCATATTTTAAGTCTGTCAGCAATGCACTGTACCCAGGAGACAGATGTAATTGGTCTAGATTTGGGGGGGTGGAAAAAAACACTAATTTCCTGATTAAACATGGCAGCCTTTAATTATGCGTTGCAGCCTCCCTTTACAGCAGAAAGTCAACCTGAAACTAGAATAATTAGATCTGTCCCTCTCCATCAGGCACTCTTTTTCCACTGTCCTTCATAGCAGTTTGGAAGGAATCTTCTTTAGCAGGCCTAGATTTTTATTTTAATCTTACCATGCCAATCTTTTGCTAGCCCAGCCTCTAATCTCTGAAAATCCAGCAGGCTGCACATATGCTGATCCAATTCTCTCCCCGAGGGGATGACGGCAGTCCACGCCACCCAGTAAACAGCACTTGCATAAGGAAACTACCTGGGTGTGCCCATGTCCAGGGTCTGTTTTTAACTTTCCCACACTGGTCATGACAAATGGCATATAGGGTGCAATGCTAAGCTTTATTTTAAGCGGTCAGTTTAATTTATTTGCGGCTAAAAGGTCTGCTTAGTTGTTTTTTCTCTATCAGATAAATATAGTACCTGTGTAATTTGTTATATTTGTACAGCATTTCATTTTAGACTGTTTATGTAATCGCTCCATGGACTCTTCCTGGAGGTTATATTCAGTATTTTGCCATTTGATCCATATGTTTGGCAACTCCTTTAACCCCTTAATGACCAAACTTCTGGAATACAAGGGAATCATGACATGTCACACATCATGTGTCCTTAAGGGGTTAATGTATGCCAGAGATGGCAAGAGCTTTGTTCTTTAGAGGTTAAAGACTTTAATTTCCCTGGGTCTCCCTTGTTATAAGTTTGTCAGGAGGAACATTATAACTTAATTACTGCAATAAAGTTGACCCACTCATATTCTGCATGCAATATTAATATTGGGTATTGCAGGTATTTTAAATTGCCAATGGAAGTTCTCTTCAGTTCTCAGACCCTTCTACGAGGTATAATCTGTAATGCAATATTTCACTGGATACCAAAACAATAAGAGAAATAACTAAAGATGAAGGCTCACTACTTCAGGCATATTCTGATGTTCAAATGGAATCTTGTGCATCCTGCTATCTCGACTTTCCAGCTAACATGTGGCTTTAAACAAAAGTAATCTTGTAGAATATAAAATTGTGGCTAGTTTGTGACAAGTATTTGGATGTCTTTACATGCCTCTGTGACTAGATCAGCTTAAAGGATCACTATAGGGTCAGGAACACAAACATGTATTCCTGACCCTATAGTATTAACACCACCATCTAGCCCCCCTGCGCCCCTCATGCCTCCATAAATATAGTAAAAAATTTACAGTATTCAAGCCTGAAGCTGCAAATCTGCATGCTGTTAGACTCAGAAAAACAAGCAGTCTGCTGACATGTGGTAGCCTGATCCAATCAGTGTTTCCCCATATGATTGGCTGAGACTGACAAGGAGGCAGATCAGGGGCACAGCCAGCATGATTCAAACACAGCCCTGGCCAATCAGCATCTCCTCAGATGAATTGAATCAATGAATCTATGAGGAAAGTTCAGTGTCTGCATGCAGAGGGAGGAGATACTGAATCACAGGATGCTGTGCACAGTGCTGCCTTGTGCTCTGCTGACAGCAGATCTGAGTGGATGGAGGCATATTATGCCTCCATCAACTCCGAAGTCCCTCAGGTTCACTCTGAGTGACTGCAACTGGAGGTGTTCCTAGCTTTCAATGTAAACACTATTTTCTCAGAAAATATGTTTACATGAGAAAGGCTGCAGGGAGCTATAGTTCTCACCTGAACAACCTCATTAACCCCTTCAGGAGGGAGTCAATAGTACATGTTCTGATCAAAACAAAACAAACCAAAAAAAATGGAATTTGCACTACATGTCTGTTCAACCGTAATTCGCCTCTTTCATATTAAGTGCACCCACACTTATTATATATCATTTCGTTCAGGAGAAACAGGGCTTTAATTTATCATTAACTATTCATATATGGAACATAATTTATAATGAATAAAATTTTAAAAAATGTGAGAAAAGATATTTTTAAAATTTGTATTTCCGTCTGACATTTTAGCTGTGAATGTCATAATACTGTTAGGTTTTACTGCAACAAAATGCAATATTTGTAATCAGCGATGTCTCACGAGTACAACAGTACCCCCCATTAACAGGTTTTATGGTGTTTTGGAAAGTTACAGGGTCAAATATAGAACGTTCCATTTTCAAATTGAAATTTGCCAGACTAGTAATGTTACATTTGAGTAATGTTACGGTGTGGTAGCCCAGGAATGAGAATTACCCCCATAATGGCATACCATTTGAAAAAGTAGACAGCCCAAGGTATTGAAAGTGGGGTATGTACAGTCTTTTTTAGTAGCCACAGTTAGCGTTCATATTTGTTTTTGTGTGAAAAAAAAGCAAAAAAATAATATTTGGCCAGTGTTTGTGACTAAGTGGCTACTAAGACTGGACATACCCCACTTGCAATACTTTGATTTGTCTACTTTTGCAAATGGTATGCCATCATGGGGGTAATTCTCAGTCCTGGGCTACCATATGCTCTCAAAGGCAACATAACCAATCTGGCAAATTTCAATGTCAAAAAAAATGAAATGCAAGCCTTATGTGACTAACTTTCCAAAACACCATAAAACCTGTACATGGGGGGTACTGTTATTCTCGGGAGACTTCACTAAACACAAATATTAGTGTTTTAAAACAGTAAAACCTATTACAATAATATGGTCCATAAAAGTGCCATTCATTTGTAAAAAAAAAAATGCAAAAAACCTCACTTTTACTTAAAATATCATCGCTGTAATACAATTTATCATTTTGAAACACTAATATTTGAGTTCAGTGAAGTCTCCCGAGTAAAACAATACCCTCTATGTACAGGATTTATGGTGTCTTGGAGAGTTACAGGGTCAAATATAGTGCTTGCGAATTAAATTCTCTGCACTGTCTCCCTGTGTTGTCAGGCATGTCAATCAAATTTTAATCAAATCACATAATTAGGTTAAAAGATTACTTAAATATACATGTAAAATTTTAATATATATGCATTTATAGGTATTTAAATTACATACACACACATACATACACATATATACATACATACACGGTTATTTGTATTTTATATATAGATAGATATAGAATGTCATTCTAAGTGTATTTTGTTACCTATATATTAACAAAATACAGTTAGAATGAAATGACAATCTATAATTTATATTAAATTTGTTTCAATATTTTATTTATTAATTTTATTATTGTAATTATACATATATATACATATGTAACGTCATTCTAAGTGTATTTTAATACTAATATATGTACTTATATTAAAATACACTTTGTATGACGTTACATACTATATATATATATATATATATATATACACACACACACACATATATATATACACATACACACACACACACACACACACACACACACACACACACACACACAAATCTAAATAAGAGATACACAAAAAAATATTTTTTTTTATTTTAAACCCGTTTAATTTTTATTTATTTTTTACACCTCCTACCAGCAGGGGGACTGACATTTTAGACAGTCCTCCTGCTGGCAGACCAACAGCCAGCTAAAGGGGGCCATGTGATTGCTCTTTCAGGGGCCTCATTTGCCAGGGAGGGCTGCCAGGAAGCCCTCCAGAAGAGGATCGCGGCGGAGGTAAGTCCACCGGACCTCCAGGGGCTACAAGCTGTTATGGCGTTCTATGCCGCCGCAACAGCTTTAAAGCCCTTTTAATGTGCGACGGCATAGAACGCCGTAACGGCGTTAAGGGGTTAAGCTGAATATAGTGTCCCTTTAAGTGATGTTCATTCCTGACATTTTATTGATGCAATATTTGTGAATTATGTGCTTGGACTGGTGTTAATATTTCTTCAGATAAAACAAGCTGCACAAGGGTCTTTATATCACCATAGGCTTTGCCGTAAGTCCTTAATCACTATCTGAAGATAAGGCCAGAGTATGAATGTGTAATATTTACAGCAATTTTGCTTATTTATGTTTCAGTTGCCACTAGTTACCACCTTTTCATTGGTGTCCTGCCTATTACCTACTTACATTGGTCAAAAATCTAATCATTACATTTCGATATTTGACATAATTTGCACTATACAGTATGTTAATGTTTGAATGCATGTCCTGATGTTGTTGGACTTTACTTCCTACTTAAAATTAGTTGCCACAGTTTTTGGGTATCATCCGGATATTCTTTCACTTCTATCTGAATGATATGCTCCTGCTTTGCTTTCATTAAGGTTTATGATATGTGTTCTGTTTCCATCTGCATAGTTCATAAGGAAAAAAAAAAAAAAGCCTGCAGGTAATCATACAAGCCAGGAAACACAAGAGTGAGATACTGGCTAGCCATGTTGATTGTGGATGGGAGGATCGATGCCTATACCTGTAAGGTAGCAGAGTATCAAAAGCCTGACATGATGTGATATCCTGAAAGGCACCAAAAACAAGTGACCCAGCTTTCTATATATGTTCTCACTAAAAAAATAAAAATAAAGGTGTTTTGTTGCAATAACTTATTTTGAATAACTTTAATTGGACAATCATTTGCACCTTTCTACATTAGACATAGTATCATGGATAACCTGCCATTGCAATTGGGTTTAAAGTGTGAAGATAAAGGGGATCATAGTACACCCCAAAATTTGCACTGCATTTCCTTTGATTTTCTGTACATCTTAAGTAGCAAAAGCTGCAGTTCTGATCTGCGGCATTCAAGCCCTCTCCTTCCCCAGCCCAAACTTTCTGTGGCTGTTCAGACTTTCCAATGTAGCTCAATGACAAGTCGTCTTTGCAAGGCAGGTGCTCTGGGCAACGGAATGCATCTTGAGTTTAGCTCCACTGAGGGGTCAGACAAATGCTACACCAAGCTGCATACAATTCATTGAGCACAAAATTTAAATAAACCTGCAATATTATGGTTCAGTACCAAGCTGAAGCATTCATAATGTTCTAACCACTTTTCGAGAATACACAAGTTACCTGTTCGTGGAGGTCAACCATGAATGGTGTCTGTTGGGTGGAGTGTGTAGCAGGATGAAGCATTCGTGGTGGAGCACTGTTGAGGGCAAAGACTCTACGATCATCTACAGGAAAGAAGGCTGGCCGCACAAAACCATCATCCTGTCCAAAGACAATCTGAGGTCTGTCCCTGCGTCCCCACTGGTGCCTTACTGGAGGACTAAAGGGTAAAATGAGGACAGAGGGGGGAAAAAAAAAAAATATATATGGAAAGAAGGGAATGAGGGAAAGAGACATTGAGAAACTCCATTAGAAAACGACTTGATTGTGACAGATGCAAGAAATACCAAATTTATTTATCATTATTTGTCTTAATGTACAAGTGTGAGATGAGGCAGCCAACCTCTAAGGTGCACTATTTTAGAAAGTGGTACCTTTTCTAGAGCCCCGCAGCTCCTACCTTCGTCTGAGTTGTGCAGGGGTGCTGCAGGGCCCCAAGAACCTCCGCTGGTTAATGGGGGCTGAGGGAGGCCACCTATTCACTGCCAGCTCCCATGGTCGCATTTGTGACGTCGGGAAGGTGGAGTGGCGAGAGGGGCTTCCACAACACGCCGTATCTTCACACCTGTCGTCTGCGCTCTGCCAAAAAGCAGATTACCCATGAAACCTACACTTAGGCATCACTGGCAAGATAATGTCCAATTTTCTGGTAACATTACAGACTAGTATATAAAACAAATAAGTGCAAATTAATCAATTTAACTTTGAACACGTCCTCAATATTTGATAACTGTCAAAGCACATGCACCACAACAAACCCCTCAAAACAGATATGTATTAGAACTTGAATGGTCACTAACATACCCAAAAATATTCACCCCGCCCCCCCCCCCTCCCCACACATACAAAAAGGTAGTGAGCAGAGGTTTCCAGACATATGTAATTCTGTTGCAACCACCTTTGTAGAGGCAGTTGTATTTCAGCAACACTTCATCTATACATTTGCCTTTGTTTTGGTCACCACATATCTTTGTAAAACAGGCATGGGGAAAAGTCTTAAAGAAAAACCATATCCACTTCATGAGTGCTTGCAAGGTGCCACAGCATTTGCTTTAGTTAAGGAGTCAATAGGAAGCTTCCATGACATTTTGGAAATGCTGGCAGAACCGGACCTTGAATTTATTCATATGTAATGTGATGCATTAGAATGATTTTTTAAAGGGAGGGGGAAAAGACTGGATGAACTGTTAAAGTAGATTTAATAAACAAGTACTCATTTTAATTGAAAATACTTTGTTCCCCATTTGGGCCCACTATTCTGAAAGATTTCTGTTGAGAGATTCAGTGTCATATCAAGTACTTCGACTCAGAAGAATGGATGAGTTATTTTTAATGGTAGAACTCATTTGGCAATAGTGAGGAAGTTTATATTATTTAGCATCTTTAAGAGCTCAATATTATAAAAGACTTCAAAATTATAAACACTGGCTATAACCAGTGCAAGCCATAGTACGCTCGACACGGCTAAATTGTATTTGTCAATGGCTAGTGGGGAGTAGATGTTTTAAGCCCAGTTTATAACTATACATTTATATAGCATGTTAATACATATGAATTAACTTGTTCCCACATTAAATGCACAAAATGTTACAAGGTTTTTTTTGCTTTTATACAGGAGGATTTTTACAGAAGTGTAGTGAGAATGCTTTAGATTACAACATGGTCTGATTATCTGCAAGGCATTCTAGGAGATTTAAGGAAGAGTTATTTTTTTCTCCTCTTAATATGGGTAGATTCTGTATAGCTGTATCAGGTCTCAACACTGCAAGTCTACTTTTCAGCCTTGCAGTGGTGAGTAACTTGTAGGCCTTAAGAGACCATGGCACAGCCAGATTTGAGCCATCGCAATATATGCATTTCAGCAAAAGCTTAAATTTGGGAGTTTGTCAAGGCAAAAAAAAAAAAAGTTCTATTCTAAAAAAATGGTCTTAAGTACTAAAAGTGAGAAATCTCCATGGTATTATAGTCACCTGAACAACCTTAGCTTAATGAAGCAGTTTTGGTGTATAGAACATACCCCCGCAGCCTCACTGCTCAATCTTCTGCCATTTAGGAGTTAAACCCCTTTGTTTATGAACCCTAGTCACACCTCCCTGCATGTGACTTGCACAGCCTTCCATAAACACTTCCTGTAAAGAGAGCCCTATTTAGGCATTCTTTATTGCAAGTTCTGTTTAATTAAGAGTTTCTTATCCCCTGCTATGTTAATAGCTTGCTAGAACCTGCAAGTGTCTCCTGTATGTGATTAAAGTTCAATTTAGAGATTGAGATACAATTATTTAAGGTAAATTACATCTCTTTGAAAGTGAAACCAGTTTTGTTTTCATGCAGGCTCTGTCAATCATAGCCAGGGGAGGTGTGGCTAAGGCTGCATAAACAGAAACAAAGTGATTTAACTCCTTAATGACTGAATGGAGTAGTGAAATTGCAGGGGAATGAGCTCTACACTAAAAATGCTTTATTTAGCTAAAGTAATTTAGGTGACTATAGTGTTCCTTTAACATAGCCTTTCACATACTGGTACTCAGCCCTTGCCCCAGTCAAGTCTCTCACCACCCCTCTTAGCCACACACCAATCCCTCACATTACCACAGTCACCCCCTGAAGATGGTGAGTCATACAGTCACCTCTCAGATAGCCTCATCATAAAAACAAAGCCCACAAGTAGTCTTCCTTACACAAATTCAAAAGCTGCAGAGCTGACAGTTAGGCTCTGCCATGGGTAAAATAAGGTCTAGCTTTGCCACTGGGTATAGCATTACACAGCTAATCTAGCCACTTCTTGCAGATGTGCAATTCACAAGTGCCCCTGAAAAACTACAGTAAAGCTATTACACAGTTGAATATGACACTTATGCATACAGCCACTCTGCCATATTCCTTACTCTATTTTTGATAAGCAAAAGCAGAGTAGGCACTTGAGTTGCCAACGCTAGGTGCACAAACAATACATAGGCTTGAGGATAGCAAATTCCCATTACGATTATTGTGAAGGTTAATTGGCAGACCCCAATATGGAATTTAAACACTTTACCAAGTATTTGAATCCTGTTGAATCCAGACATATCTAAAAGCCAATAAGTAGATCCCAGCTGCTGGAGAACCACTGCCAAACTTGCATCTACCTTTAGGCCACCCTTTGTGTAATAGTCCCTTTATCTTATAAATCTGTTTAACAAACATGATGGCTTGGGTGTGACACCTAGTCAGATCATTAAATTAAGCCCGCTGCACAATGCTAGATTAACATGGTGTTGCCTGTGCATTATATAGTGTTTAAGATTGTCCAAATATTCCACTTTCTATTCATTAGCATATTGCAGAAATATAGAATGGAAATTGGACAATTGACATACAATAGCATACTAAAAATCTTACAATCCATGAGGCTTATGAAAATCTAAAGTTCAATTCTAAGGGGTCCATTTGGAACAAGGTTGAGTTTTTTTTTTCTTCTCTTAATCTTCAAACAAACCACAAATGTGGATACAAACTCAAGCCTCAACTATAGGTGCAAATAAGCATGCACTGCAAATACTATTGCACCGTTAAACAGTACCAAGTGGTAAAACAAGTCAACGCTTTTCAAGGCTCAACAAGCAAGGTATTGAGACTTTAGAGAGTCACCTGATTGCAAGCATGGTCTTATTCATTTCCTTGGCTTGCCTATTTAAGCTATTCCCATCAGAATTAGGTCAGCTATAGTGGGTCAATATGCAGCATTGTTTATAGTAATTGATCAAAAATAAGCAGAATTAAGTTACTTAATGGATGGTTAAAGACTTGAGCACTGACATGCAGGCAACTATTGTTAACAGAGTGGTTTAATAAATTTAGGTGACTCAAGTATTGTGTAGCTAAACCTTAGCTATTGTCCCACTATATCCATCACTATTCCTTGCCAATCTCAAGGGTGAAATAGCAGAATCTACCTTTTCTGACAGAGTATTAAAGAATTGGGCAGCCTTGTTAGAAACTAAAATGCAACATGGTCAGCGTCACAGCAGTATTTGTTGGGGATGTTATGTGCAACACAAAGAACATTAAAAATAATTTAAGATTAAGAGGGAGATCAACGTAATGTACTACAATAGCATGGAAAAGAACAAAAAGAACCAAAATAAAGCGACATTTCAAAAGAAACATTTCCTGCAGTATGAAGCACACGTTTATTGATCGGGTGGTCTGTGAGCTCAGTCGAGAGGGCTGAATATAGGAATGGTCATTCCCTGTATGTGCCTGTTAAAGGTCCACATTACCCCCACACGGATGACCGGCATATAGAAGGCAGAGGGAGCATGGGGACAACTGAAACGGGCCAAGGCGAGTCTGTGTCTTTAAGAGACAACGCTGCTCAGACCATGTGCTCAGCAGGAAACAAAGCAACAAAGGATACATCCCCAGACTTCTCACAGCCACAAAAACAGCTGCAGCACAGCGCACCGTGGCCACGACTAGCCCCCAGATACTTACCGATCCGGTCACCCGCCGAGCTGGGGGGCCATGCACTGCCAGTACGGAAAGTGGCACAGTGAGCAGAGCCCACCGAGACACAAAGGGAGGGAGAGGATTACAAAAGGGGCGGAGGGAAAGGCTGGCAGAGAGAAGCAGGGAGCAGACAGCGGAACAACAACAACAACAGGCAGCACACATTGACCAGCACGTGTGGACAGCCTAACCGGGACACACCGGGTAACGGCACCGGAGACCAGCCGCTACACGTACCCTGTTACAACGGAGCAGAGGAGATGGGGGGAGAGAGAAGGATGTAATAAAAGTAATTAACACCAATAACCGGATCCTGATCGTTTACTAAAAAAAATAAAAAAATTCATGGGTGGTGTACGTTACAGGACAAGCTTTAACCCAGAGGTTTAGTGAAAAAATTTTTAAGAAAATTGAAAATTATATATATACACACATACATATATACACACACACACACACACATATATACACATACATATACATACACACATACTACCACACCTCCATTTTCATAAGTTTCTTTGCAAGCCCAAGACTAAAATAATTTATATAATGGGAGCTGCAGTTGAGCTTATTGCAGTGTTGCCAGACATGGATACAGTGTCTACACAGAGAAGTCAGTGTACACACAGCTATATCCAGGTGTCTACACACAGCTACAACCAGGTAGTACACAGAGCAGTCAGTGTACACACAGCTATTACACAGAGCAGGCCGTGTACACACACACACCGTACACAGCGATAGCTGTAAGCTCGTTTGAGCAGGGTCCCTTTTTCAACCTATCATTTATGTAAGTTTTCTTGTAATGGTCTTATTTAGTTAAATCCCCTCTCATAATATTGTAAAGCGCTACGGAATCTGTTGGCGCTATATAAATGGCAATATCCAAATATTACACATTAGGTAGTGTACACACTGTATACAGATATATCCATGTATTACACAGCCTGGGGCAAACAAGACATGTACCACCTGCAGACACCCCAGTCCTGGGCTTAGTGAGGACTCTGGGTATACCGACACCAGGGGGGTCGGCAGCATTCAGCACTCCAGAAGTGGTGGCTGCTCCCTTGATGCTTTTCCAGGATTATACGAGATGTAGTGTACAAGGTTGCCTACCCTGACCTACAGCCAGATTTACTCTGTTTTCCTGGACTAGTCTCCCCTACGTAGTACGGTGGCACATTATATTGCTGGCCAGGTGTACAATAAATACTACAGCAGGGCTACCACCAGGCTGTGTCTCAGGCTAGTAACCATATTAAGGGAGCACTTTTCATGCCCTGCCCGTAATGCAGCACAAGGGCTACTGGGAGAGCCAGTGGTCTGGCATATCTATAGACCTCCCCATGCCCTGGCATAGCTATAGACCTCCCCATGCCCTGGGGAGAGCCGGTAGTCTGGCATGGCTATAGACCCCCCCATGCCAGGGGAGAGCCGGTAGTCTGGCATGGCTATAGAACCCCCCCCCCATGCCAGGGGAGAGCCAGTAGTCTGGCATGGCTATAGACCCCCTCCATGCCAGGGGAGAGCCGGTGGTCTGGCATGGCTATAGACCCCCCCCCATGCCAGGGGAGAGCCGGTGGTCTGGCATGGCTATAGACCCCCCCCCAATGCCAGGGGAGAGCCGGTAGTCTGGCATGGCTATAGACCCTTCCCCCATGCCAGGGGAGAGCCGGTAGTCTGGCATGGCTATAGACCCTTCCCCCATGCCAGGGGAGAGCCGGTAGTCTGGCATGGCTATAGACCCCCCATGCCAGGGAGAGCGGTGGTCTGGCATGGGCATAGCACCATAGACCTCCCCCACCCCCCATGCCAGGGGAGAGCGGTAGTCTGCATGGCTATAGACCCTCCAGGGAGTCCCTGGCCTATAGACCCCCCATGCCAGGGGAGAGCCGGTAGTCTGGCATGGCTATAGACCCCCCATGCCAGGGGAGAGCCGGTAGTCTGGCATGGCTATAGAACCCCCCCCCCATGCCAGGGGAGAGCCAGTAGCCCGGCATGGCTATAGACCCCCTCACATGCCAGGGGAGAGCCGGTGGTTGGCATGGCTATAGACCCCCATGCCAGGGGAGAGTCTGGCATGGCTATAGACCCCCCCCCATGCCAGGGGAGAGCCTGTAGTCTGGCATGGCTATAGACCCCCCCCACCCCCCATATGGGAGAGCCTGTAGTCTGGCATGGCTATAGACCCCCCCCACCCCCCATATGGGAGAGCCAGTAGTCTGGCATGGCTATAGACCCCCCATGCCAGGGGAGAGCCGGTGGTCTGGCATGGCTATAGACCCCCCATGCCAGGGGAGAGCCGGTGGTCTGGCATGGCTATAGACCCCCCCCCCCATATGGGAGAGCCTGTAGTCTGGCATGGCTATAGACCCCCCCCCCCATAAGGGCCAGTAGTCTGGCATGGCTATAGACCCCCATGCCAGGGGAGAGCCGGTGGTCTGGCATGGCTATAGACCCCATGCCGGGGAGAGCCTGGTGGTCTGGCATGGCTATAGACCCCCCATGCCAGGGGAGAGCCGTGTGGCCCAGGGCTGACACGGTAAATTCGTTATGTGACATGCAAGGTATGGCCGCTGGACGAGGTGCAGGCTATTCCCACCTCGGGCCCCAGGCTGAGAGCCCCGTGCAGCCGCCATTCCCGGAGCCCGTTATTCCCAGTCAGGGCTGAGGTCGGGGTCAGGTCACGGCTCTAGGTGTGTCGGCCACCTTGTGTGCCTGCTTTACCTGCCGGACTCGGGCCCCTTGGACAATCCTCTACGCTAGGCAACGGCGGGTGCCATGGCAGTCACCCGGACAGGTGCGGAGCGCGCCCAGCTCCTGAGAGGCGAGCAAGCGCGATCCCGTGCTCCGGTAACTGGCCCTTTAAGGTCCCGGGCGCGGCCCCGAGACAGACAACGACAAAACTTCAATTCACAACATTGTGGGAGCGCGCACGCAGCGTGGCCGCTCAAGAAGGGGGCGCGCGCTTCCATTTTAGCTCGGGCGCCGACGTCACCCCTCTAGCCAAGATAGGGACCAATCACAAGCGCCGAGCCCGCAGCCGCTTCCACCAACTAGACTTAGTGTGACGTCATTACCGCACGCCTACAGCAGACTCATCAGTATGAGACAGCCCCAGCCTCGCGCAAAACACCTGTCTGCACTATATGCAACACTGTGTGCACGGCCAGAACACAACACCTGTCACTCCAGGTGCATGTAGCTGTTGGCACTGCATACAGACCAAGACCTCTATACACAACTCCGTAACCAAGGAAGTATGTGAAGGACGCTGATCATCCCCCAATGCCAGAGCTGGCAGTCAAAAATAGACACGAGATGTACTTAGTGTTATTTAATATAGTGTGTATTGTGAGCATTGGTTTTTATAAATACAAACGTAACTTTCCTTAAAAGGGACACTGACTTCTTGTGGGCGGCGCCCTTCCTATGGAATAGCGCTGCCTACCGCCATCAGACTCTCCCCTAGTTTTGCATCTTTAAAAAGTGCCTTAAAACCCATCTCTTTAGGAAAGCTTATGGCCTCCCAGACTAACCTCTACCTCACATACCTGTCTCTTGCTCTCTCCTAAAGGGCAGCCCACCTTATTTGACTGCAAATTCCTGTCCAAATGTGTTTTTACACCCCACCTCCTTGTCCTATTTATAGTTAAATCCCCCTCTCATATTGTAAAGCGCTATAGAATCTAAATGGCACTCATAATAATAATCACCCAGACTGCTTCAATGAAATATTGATCTGGGTGCCTAGTGTCTCTGTTCCCCTAAGTCTTGCAATCTACAAAAATTAAAATATATCTGTTTTAGAGAGACTACAATGAATGCATTGCAGGACTAAGACTGCCACTTATGGGGAGGGCCTAATGCGCATGCACATTAGCACCTATAAGATGACAGAGGAGGCTTTGGGCACCAATGCTGGAATCAGGTGACCAAAGGTTTAACCCCTTTAACTGCTGAACAGGGACCAGAGGGCACTATAGTCTAAGGAATACAACTTTCTATTTCTTACATTATAGGATCCATTTAATTTAAAATTCCTGATATGTATTACAGCAAGCATGTCAAACTCAAAGGCTAAGACAGGCCAAATAAACAAGGCTTACGTTTATGTGGGCCGCAAAACAGGCTAAGGAATTTATGTATTTAGCCATTTTGCTTATAAGTTAAGTTTTTGTTACATTTGTCTCCACCACAGAGATCACACCATTACTTTAGATACTGGTATATATCTAGGGAGCCCTCTCCTCACTTATGTGAGAAGATTTTGGCTTATTCCTCTTCATACATGGGTTTAAAGGGACTCTCCAGCCAAGCCTTTTTACTCACCTGGTTCCAGCGCCGGGAGCCTCATGAAGCCGCGCCCCTTATTTCGTCAAAATGACGAAATAGGCAGGCGTGAGCAGGGAGAAATCAGAGCGTCATTTCTCCCTTGTGCGCTTCACCGCACATGCACACATTCTTCAGACGGTGGTATTCATGTCCATGCCACCCTCTGAAGTCCTGAGCGCACTACCGCGCGGTCGCGAGCTGAGCTGACTGACAGCTCAGGGTCTTTGCCCGCCCCCGCTCCTCTGCTGACAGGCAGAGGAGAGAAGGCGCGCACACAGTGCCTTCTCTCTCCTGCACACGTCAGACGTATTTTAATACGTCTCGCGTGTACAAGGCCTTTTTAGGGCCCTACATGATAGGAAGTACCTCTGGTGGCCGTCTGAGTGACGGCCACTGGAGGTATTCTATCAATGTAAACACTGTATTTTCTCTGAAAATACACTGTTTACATTAGATTGCCTGCAGGGAGCTATAGATCTCACCTGAACAACTACATTAAGCTGTAGTTGTTCAGGTGACTATAGTGTCCCTTTAAGCCCCGAGACAACACTGGAGTGTCTCACTGGTGTATCACCTCTGACTGTTAAAACAGCGTAGCAGCAATGTGTCTTAAGTATTAACAGTCATAGAACCCTTTTCTATTATTTATAAAAGTACAGTATAAAAAAGTTGCCTGACACTGGACGTCCTTGTGCTTGTAGAGCTTCAAAACAAACAAAAGAGCAAATTTATGTTAAGAAATGCATTTGCATGTAAACAACGTTTCAGTCCAACTACCTTGGCATATTAAGAAATGTTTGGTAATGGGACTGAAATGGGGAATGTATGCTGTTGCATAGCTGTTTAAAAAAAGTTATCTTGTTTGTTTTGAAGTTCTGAGTGTGTGCTTCACTTTGGCTGAGATCATCAAACTCGATCTCAGCCAATCCAATGATTTCCCATAGGAAAGCATTGGGACGCTATTGTACAGCCGAGCAGCCAAACAGCATCTCCATGGGGAGCATTCAGCGCCTCCATGCAGACCCAATCTAATTAAATAGACTGCCCCCAACTCCACTTTAATGCGCTGCCCTCCCCCAATTTAACCCCTTAAGGACCAAACTTCTGGAATAAAAGGGAATCATGACATGTCATTGTTTCCCTAAGGGGTTAAACACTCACCCCTTACCCAATTTAATACAATGGCCCCGATTTCCCCAAATTAAAGGACCACTATATAGTGTCGGGAAAACAAACTCGTTTTCCTGATACTATATAATCTTTAGGTTCCCCCCCACCGTCAGGGCTGAAAGGGTTAAAACCCCTACAGCCACTTTCCTTTATCCAGCGCTCTGACATCTCCCCTTCCAACGTCAGCTCCCTAGTGGAGCCGAATGCGAAGCCAGAGCCGCGCGTATTCAGAACGCTTTCCTATGGACGTTCTGCGTGCTCAATGCAAGTTTTTCAGGAAGACAGCCACTGGAGGCTGGATTAACCCTGCAATGTAAACATAGCAATTTCTCTGCAACTGCTATGTTTACAGCTGCAGGGTTAAAACCTGGCACCCAGACCACTTCATTGAGTGGAAGTGGTCTGGGAGACTATAGTGGTCCTTTCATATACTGGCCGGCTCCCTCCCCCAGGTTAATACACTGGACTGCCCTCCCTCAAACTCATACGCTGGCCCCCTCCCTCCCTCAAACTCATACGCTGGCCCCCTCCGCCACTCTGCTCTCTTGTGGCAGGGAGAGCAAAAATCAGGAAATATCTTTTTTGTGTCTTAATGGTTGCAGCCACCACTGAAAGCGGCCCCAGGGCAGGTGGGCCGCAAATATGTTCAATGTGGGCTACATGAGGCCCATGGGCCGCATGTTTGACATGCTTGTATTACACCCTCTGTGTAATGCGTCACAATGCATGCATATTGTATTTCAGTGCATCTCTTACCATTAGGTCCTCTGAGCAGAAGCATTATTTGTCCAACAAATGCTCATGTCAGGATTTGCACTCATCTGCATGGTAAGTTCCAGGTATTTTGAAAGTTTGTTCAGAGCTGGGCTCCGTTAAAATTGTGCATGTACTTGGCAGCAGAGGCGTAGCGTGGGGGGTGCAGGGGGGGCCGGCCGCACCGGGCGCAACATCTGGGGGGCGCGCTCGCAGCTCTCTGCCCCTGCCTGGCTCACTCTCTCTGCAGTGCTGGCTGTGCGAATCCGATCCGAGCCGCCGCTCACTGTGCGGGGGGGGGAGGGGAGGGGGTGCCAGGATAGTGTAGGACGGACTGGCTCGGTGGCTCCTCCTTCTGACCTCCCCTGCGCCTGAACGTAAGCGCGTACCGTGACGTCATGAAATGAGTCACGGCCGGTAACAGCGCATGCGCATAGCCTCCACATGAAGGACGCCGGGAACACCCTCACACCCTTTCTCCTAGCCGAGCATCCTGAGAGAGCAGCTGCCGGTATCTTCAGAGAAAGTGTTCAGAGAAGTGTAAGTATTTTTTTTTTTTTTTTTTTATATTGACTGTAAAGTAAATTATAGTTTTAGGAGGAGTGGGCAGTAAATGCAATATGTTAATTGTGTATATAACAAAAAATCTGCAAAATAAGTTGTAATGGTGGAAATGTATTTTTAGGGGGAGGGGATGGGTGCAGTAAGTCAATATGTTCATGTATTGTATTGTAATGAGATTTTTTTTAGTTTTTGTTCTTGATATTTTGTCGTTTACGATGGTTGTGAGACGACATAATAGCATGGCCCATGCTAGGTTACTACATTTGTATATTTGTATTCATAGACCTGCTAAAAATGTGGAGAATGTGTGTAATGCATGTTCGCACTCAAAGTGTTGGAAAATAAACTTGTATTTAGATGCATTTTACTTTAATTACATAAGTATTTTCATAACAAACAATACATGTGCTTGGGGGGTAAGGGTTTCTTTAACTAATCTAGTGGAAGAGACTCGAGTGCTAAAATCCACGGGTTAGGGGGCGCAAATTACTTGCCCCGGGTGCTGACAACCCACGCTACGCCACTGCTTGGCAGGCCAGCAGAGCTGTTTCTGGACTACATTTCCCGTGATGCTCAGCTAGCTTTTAGACTTAAAGCTAGCTGAGCATCACAGGAAATGTAGTCCAGAAACAATTTATGGTGTCAAGGTTAGCCCTCACTGGCACATAGGCACTTTAAAACCTTAAGCTTAAGGAAGCAGTTTTGGTGACACATCTGCTGTCTTCACTGCTCAATTATCTGCCATGTGGGAGTAAAATCACTGTTTATGCAGCCCTAGGTACCCCCACCTTTGCCTGTGATTACACACTTCTTGTAAATAGTGTAGTGGCAAGGCTGCATAAACAAAGTGATGCAACTCCTAAATGGCAGAGAATTGTGCAGTAGTGAGATTAACATTACAGACAATAACTGCTTCATTAAAGGACCACTATAGTGCCAGGAAAACCAACTCTTTCCTGGCACTATAGTGCCCTGAGGGTGCCCCCACCCTCAGGGTTCCCCTCCCGCCAGGCTGAAGTTGGAGGAAGGGGGTTAAACACTCCCCTTTCTCCAGCGCCGGTCTCCATCAGTGCTGGGGACTCTCCTCGCTCTTTGGATGTCGCATTTGCAGCAAGAGTCGCGCGCATTCAGCCAGTCCATAGGAAAGCATTCTCAATGCTTTCCTATGGACGCTTGCGTCTTCTCACTGAAAATGATAGTGAGAAGCGCCTCTAGCGGCTGTCAATGAGACAGCCACTAGAGGCTGGATTAACCCATATGTAAATATAGCAGTTTCACTGAAACTTATGTAGAGAGAAAGAGAGAAAGAGAGAAAGAGAGAAAGAGAGAAAGAGAGAAAGAGAGAAAGAGAGAAAGAGAGAAAGAGAGAAAGAGAGAAAGAGAGAAAGAGAGAAAGAGAGAAAGAGAGAAAGAGAGAAAGAGATTCACATACTGGCACATACAAACCCAGATACACCCTGGGGGTTCCACGATGTTGATACATTATGTAGAGTTCCACAGGAAAAATTAATTGGGAACCCCTGCTTTAGACTGTACAGGCTCCATGAGGGATGCCATGGAGAGAATGTATTATCTATCCAAGGCATATGTGGCATATGTGGCTGCATGGGCAAGTTTTCACCCAGTAGCAGCCCTAGCTTGTTACAACAAACTGAAAATCTGGAAGTGGACATAAAAGAGGGTGTTAGCATGGCACACCTTTTGGAAGCCTTTTCCAACATCAAATTCGTTGGTGATTTTTGCACAGAGTCTTTGGTAGAGCCTGTCCATTCCATGATCATACTTACAGGAGCTTGTTGAGGACCAAGTCATCCACATTTGTGTTACACAAGATATTTGCTTAATATAATGTTGCGTTTGTTTTTGCTTTTAGGGTCAGAGCTTAAATAGCTGTTGAAGCAACAAAGCCAAAGCAGTTATGTAATCAACTAAAATCAGTTTCTGTACACATTCTGCCACCCCTCCCTCGGGGCAATTTGTGTTTTGCAGAGAACAATTTCAATAAAAACTGCCACTTTTGCATTTCTCACCCCAGTAGGCAATTGCCAAAGCACTTACTGGGCTGATTAATTCAGAAGGTGGCAAACAAAACACTTCAGCATCTGTATCCCAAGGCAATATCCATTTACGATACACTGAACCCTCAGACACCTGCACAGGCCTGCCTTGGACGTGTCTTCAAGTGCGACATGTGCTGATGGTGCAGTTATAAATTGACTCATACACAAAATGCTCTGAATGTGCTTTTGATGGTCTAGGGCAGGGGTAGGCAACCTACGGCACTAGTGCCATGCACGGCACTCGAGGTGTCTTTCCACGGCACTCAGGGCTGCTAGAGCCAAACAGGCTCTGGCCTATCAGGAGTCTCAGTGAAACTTCAGATATCTGCTAATACGAAAAGGTGGTAAAGGAAAATACTCAATTTATGCATTGCAGAACGTAGAGGAAGTGATCTCAGATCAGTTCCTCCCAGCACTTGTGAATGGGAATCTACACTGTAGTAGAGCAGCCTGCAGCTGCGGCTGCAGCTCCTGCCCTTGACCTATACCAGGCCAGCCTTGACCTTGACCTATACCAGTCCCCACTGGAACCCAGGGAAGCCACCCACAATGCTAGATATACACAGACCTGCAGAATAAGCATCCCCTCATACAAATAATACGAACAGCCCACACACAAACATACACATAATCCCCACAAGCGCAACACCACTAACAATCTACATACATGCACACAATCCCACATGCAGCCTCTCACATGCAATACCCCAAACAGCCCCACACACTACCAAACACACAATGTGACATATCAATCCACACACACACAATTCCACAAGCAGCCCTCATACACAGCCCACATTCATGTGTATACAATATAATAGCTCATATACACACAAATACAACGATAAAAAGCAATTACAGTAAAAATAACAAGCAGAATACGGCAGCATACACACACCTCAATTTAAAAAAAAAAATAGGATCGGCACACTACGGGACATCACAATCGTATATCGGCACAGTGCTGCTAAAAGGTTGCCTACCCCTGGTCTAGTGGTTGGGCAACCCTCGGCACTCCAGATATTCACTACATCAGCCATAATGCTGACCAAGTATTAAGGGAGATGTAGTCCACACATTTCCAAAAGTCAATTATCCCTGGTCTACCAGATGGTGGGGTAGACTGCTTTTTTGTAATGATTTTGACATGCAGTGAGCTTTAACAATAGCATGAATATGATGGACGTTAACCTGCGCAGGAGTGTAATAGTCATAAATAGGATACAAGACATTTTCCATACACATGCAAACACTTATTGTAGGTGAGCTAGGGAGTGAGTGACTGCGCTTTATGTACAAGTAGGCAGAACATCTCAAACTCAAGAATCGATGGGGAGGGAGAAGATAGATAACATATTGCCATCGGTTCCCTAATCCGAGATCGATACAGAAAAAAAAAAAAGAAATCATTGATAAAACTTAATGAGAATGTACGCGGTGTACATTGCCCGGGCCTATGAGATGGCAATAGGTGGGCTAGTGAGTACTACTGGTTACTCTGGTCAACAGCATACGCAAAATATATATGAAGTGAACTTTGTATGTGTTTACCAATGGCAGGTAGCCACTTAGTACCTAGCGTAGACTAGCGAGGCTTTAGTCACGTATGAGGAGTTACAGGGAGAGAGGCAGTTTTGTGCTCGAACGAGGCCAGAAGCCATAAGTGAGAGTGACCGTGTTTCTCGTTATAGGCTCAGTAGTAAGTTGGGCATTGGCCAGGTGAATCCTCCGGTATTAATAAAATATACCAACGGTAACAATGCAAAGTTAAGTGAAACAACAACGGTCTTAAAAGGAAGCCTGAGAGAAGTAGATTCTGCGGTGCACAGTTTCAGCCTGGGGCTGTGGATGGCTTCTCTTTTCTGCTATATAATTTTTTAACTCACGTTACATACACCGCATTGCTTACTTTTAAGATTCGCAGTTAACGGGTATCTTTCACATTCTATAAAATAAGCTGCATAAATATATACTGGCATTCTAACATTTCGTGACAATTGGATCAAGGCTGCCTGATGTGTGTTCACAAGAACTATATTCTTATAAGCGTTACACCATGCACACCAAAAACAAAAAGTGAACCTAGTTACATTTATGCTCCTAAAACATTTACAGCATACCTACAAACTTATTTGACACCGTATAGATTGCCAGATTTTTTTGCTGAAAGCAACCACACATGTCTGCAGGAAATATTTACTATTGTACAGAACACATGCATACATATTGCATCACTGTATGCACATCTGGCATTTTAACAATCATAATTTGCATGGTAATTCCAGATTAATCCAATCATGTGGTTAAAAATAGCTACGAATTCTATAAACACCAGGGTTTCCAGTCCCGAGAGCTACAAGGTTACTGCTGAGAGCTAGTGTTTCTGTAAAAATTAGAAATACCCTTTCTTGGCCTATAAATAAGTCCAACTATATTTACAAGCTTCTCTGCACACAACACAAAAAAATATATTTACAGATCTCAAACCATTAACAAGCACAAATGTTTGAGTGACGAAGCAGCAATTGAGAACCAGTCATGTAGAATATAAAGAGAAAGCATTGGAATTTAAGCGATGTTGCCTCTTGCAGTGGGGCAGGGGGAAAACAAAACCCAATATAAATGCCACCTCATTTCCAGTTCAGACAGACACTCGTCCACTGCACCCTCAGAAGAAATTAGCACGCCCTTTTCAGACTTTCACGATCACGTCCAACCCAATGCTTCTCCTAGAGAAGCATTGGATTAGTGATGCACATGCATGGCCAAACACCACACTCCCCCAATCAAATGCTGCTAAGAGCAGGACCAACTTTGTTCTGAAGAAGGAAGTGCTTCTTGTGGTTTTTAGGAAGACAGTCGAGAGGTCTATTTAACTCTGCGATGGAAACATTTTACATAGCAAATTTAAAAGTACAGGTGACATTGCACCCATAAGATTTGTCTTATTCCAATATATATTCTTTCCTTAGCATACACAATGAAGTCTCTGCATTTAATATATAACAAAGCTGCAGACAGATTTATCCTTACTATGTCAGATTGGGTGTCTTTTCCTAATGTAAACTGATGGGCTTTCAGCTTAGAAATGGCTTTTGTTTTACGCTGATCAGGAAGTGTTTTCTGATGCTGAGGGGGCAGATTAAGGAGAAAGGCTTAAAAGGGTTACTTCAACCACCACGACTTTTTTTTTAGTGGTCATGGTGGTATGAGTCTGGATGTGCAGTGTTTTGGATTGAAATACTACACAGTCAGAGTTCTATTGAATTGTTTAATTGCCGGGGAAAATTGCACCTCCAGCAAGAGGAAGATAGTTTTCTACAGCCTCCGCGTGTGCTCCCTCCCGCCTCCCTACATAACAAATAAGGATTTGTTTTTACCCCCTGGCTCAAACTGCACATATGCGCTCAGAGATGGCAAAATAGTCAGACATGACATCAAGATATCAGATGCGTCAGGTAAGTAAGAATTTACAGGTCGCTTTAAGGTTCTGAACATTTGTGGTTAAAGGGTCACAATGGGCACAAACATTAACTGTAGAGTTTCACACACTGAAACCTAAGGAAAGTTGACATACTAAGGATAAATCTGTCTGCAGCTTTGTTATATATTAAATGCAGACCTTTATAAGGCCATTTTCACATTTACAATCTCAATTCAGTCTCAATTCATACAAGGAGAAAACCCACACATTTGCAATGCAAATTTCTATGGGAGGTAAATACATGGGTGTTTGAACAAGTTGTTTCCTATCCACTGCATGTATTGTGAGCGAGTCCACCAACCATAGACTGGGCCACGATTTGAAAAATGGTTGCAGAAGTTGTAAGCCAGCATTATTTTAGAAGCTGGTGAACATTACAAAGCTATATTAGTGAAACATGGCAAGGTTCACAAAAAAACAAAAAACAAAAAATTCTGTACAAATAACAATGCTCCATGTTTAATGACTACTATATTTCTTTGCAATTTACACTATACTCTGAATAATTTACACCATTTTCTCCATCATAACGTTCTTACATCTGTGCAGATTTACATTTATAAGCAGAGGTCTCAAACTACAGATAAAGAATATTAAATCGAAACATCTGATGAGGCAAAATTTTGAATCAGATAAGATAGAATTCCAAGCACTTTGGATTCAGAAAACCTACTGGCATTCTCAGTGCATTTTATCTTTTCTGCATTTGCTGTTCTGTTACTAGATAGACATGCCCTAAACTCAAATCTAGGTCAGCTCTGATAGAAGGATTTGCCTGTGAAGAGTCAGCCTACAATGCCTGTCGATCATTTAGGTTTCCACAAAGCATTTGTGGCTCCCAGGAAGTGTAGTGTGACTAAACAAAAGGGAGGGGGCGGTCTTGATGGCAACAGCCATTACAGTACCCTACAGGCCATATTTTCTGAGTATTCACAGGGGAGGGGGAGGAGATATATTCTGTAGTGCTTCATAATTAGATCAGAAGATTTACTGCCACTATATTAAGACAAGAGTGTTGGACTTTTGAGTCATGCTGCTTTCTGTTGGAGGGCAAGACTGCACAGTGACCCAGTCATAAGGATTACTGAATATCGCCTAGCAGTTCAGCCAACCCTGCCAATTGTTCTGCTACAATACCAGGTCTTGATTGGTACCCCATTAAGTGGCTATTTGGGTGCAAAATCAGTTTGATAAAAAAAGGGTATGAACTAAAACCCCCAATGGATAGAAAACCCATCTAGAATCCAGTTGGAGAGTTTTTCCAGATGACATTTTGAACATTACATTTTCAACTAACTACAATTCACTGTTTAAACCCAGTCTTTGCTCTTTAGAGGCTCTAACCATAAAATGATTATAAGGGTCACCAAGTACAAACCCCCCCCCCAAAAAAAACTACATTTTCATGTAGTGGTTTTGGTGCATACATGCGGTCCCTTTTCTCAGACAATGTGGAACATTGACTGGTGTGGGTTTTTACACCACACAGTAAAAGTTTGTTCAAATGTGGAACATTGCTGTTCGCAAAATTGTGCCTCTTGAGCTGGGTGTTTTGAATCATGCAGGATTGGATCAGAGATCATTTTATGATCTCACTGGGCAAATCAGGCTGCAGAGACCAGCAAGATTTTGTCAGCAACATAAAGCCACCTGCAACACAGGATTAAAAATAAGTGTCAAATGAAACAAGTAAAAGTTATTGTGATGACATTTCATAAGTCTGATTCAGTGTAAAGCACCTCAATTGAATTATAAATGGACTGGCAGGATGAAGACACTAATTTATATTCAGTACTTGTAATTCATAATACAAATATTGCCATTCATACTCTGGTGTGAATTACAGATATTCCCAATAGAGCACAAGACAATTATACAGATCCATCTTGTGTACACATTTGCACATTAACTAGGCTACAAAACAGCAGTGTTCTATATATAAAAATAAATAAATTATATATACGTACACACACTTAAAATCCACTTTAATTACTCCACTAAGATTTAGTTTAACCCTTACAGACATCAGGGCGTGTCATACGTCCCAACTGTAATAGGCTTTAATGCCTTTAGGATGACACGTCCTGCAGATTTGGTGCGAGCAGGGTTGTACAAAGTACTTTAGCTCATTTATAAAACTGCAGCTGAGCTAACTGAGCTCCGTTATGGTTTTTCCAGGGGGTGCAGGCAGCTTTTGGGAAAACCTACAGGGTCCTCAGTTACCCTGGCAGGGTCTCCTAGCTTGTCCTGTCCCTTAGATGGTGGCAGCATATGACCACCCGTGTTAAAGGGACACTTGGCACCCAGATCACCTCACCTTATTGAAGTGGTCTGGGTGCAAACTCCCATCACCCTTAACCCTGAGCATGTAATTATTTCAGTTTTTATAAACTGCAATAATTACCTGCTAAGGTTAACTTCTCCTCTAGTGACTGTCTACCAGACAGCCAACTCCTCTGGTTGCAACTATTTGCTAATCCACCTATTATACAGCGCTGAGGAATATGTTAGCACTTTATAAATAACACAAGTAGTGTTACAGCAGTCAGTTACTAGTTCTACTGAATTGTCTACATTTAAGAAAGCAGTAGGCACATTAAATATAAAAAGCTGATTAAACAGCCTTTATCCATGTTAAATCTCAGCACGTTGGAAAATGTCAACATCATAATGTGTATGCAGAGTATTGATAGAGTGGCAGGTAGCATAAAACACCTACATCTGCTAAGGAAGGCGCTTGTGGTCTTACTGGAAACTTTAGCCTTCAGATGTGGGAATACTTGAACACTAGGCACCATATCCTCAATGTTAGCATTTGCACAACTACTCAGTCCCCAGCATGCTGGCCCCTCAGTTAAGGTATGGCAAAGGAAGAGTTACGTTCAGTCCATAACTGCCCACTACCTCTGGTATGGCATGAAGACCCCCCCAATTTTCTGGCATTTATAGTATTGCACAATACCAAAATATCATGGTAAATTTACAACAGCACCGGACCCTGGTCACACCACAGGTTTTTTTTTAACCTTTGTTTACAGTAACAAAAATGCAATTCTTAAAGGGACACTATAGTCACTAGAAACACTATTATATGACATCTATAGCCTGTCCCTGCAGGCTCTTCAATGTAAACACTGCCTTTTCAGAGAAAAGTGTATCCTTTGCTCTCTAGTGAGTCACTCAGACTTCCACTAGAGGGGCTTCCTAGTCCACGCTCTGCATGGAGGTGCTGAGTATTCCCCATGCGTGGAGTTTGCTGTGCATGCACAAAAGCTTCCTAATGCTTTCCTTTTGGAAAACCCTGGATTGTCAGATCATCAAGAATGATTGTCTCAGCCATGGAAGCGAGGCCAGCTGCAGAGAGGAGGGCCAGTAACCAAAACAGAAACTCAGACAGTACATACAAATTATACATTTTAAATTTAAGTCCACCCAGCCTCCATACCTGTGGGAGAGATGGAGTGGATCATTTCCCTGAGGTCCAGTGTGGCTGCTCTGATCATCTTGAGCTCTTCTTGCTCTGCTCCCTTGAGCACCCTTTAGTGATGTGGGCCAGAGACCATCATATTCCTGATCCAGACATCACTGCACAGCATGAGGGAGCAGTAAGATTACATCTCCCTCACCACCCACCTGCCTTCTCTCTGACTTGCCTGCCTCGGAGGGAACAGGTTCTCAAATCCCAGGTGCCAGGAGATTTTATCGAGCCCTGTGTTAAAGGGATACTATAGCACTAGGAATGCACACGTACTCCCAAAGCTAAAGTGTTACCCTTCCGCTTTAGATAAGATGGCCATCACCTCCATTAGGCTTTAAAAAGGGTAGTTTTACTTTCACTCCTTCGCTGTGGCCACTGCCTCCCTGGCTGAGATCACAATTTATTTCAACTAATGCAATGCTTCCCCACAGGAAAGCATGCACAGCAAGTCACCACACTGCACCAGTCAAACGCTCTGGGAGTCCGACTTATCACAGGGGGAAGCACCTCTAGTGGCTGTCAGGAAACCTGACAGTTTCTACAAAAACGTGCAACAATTTACAATGCAGGGTTAAGTGCCACTGCACCCAAATAACTTCATTGAGCTGATGTTGTCTGGGTGCTTTAAGTAGTCCTTTGAAAAACTCCAGGGAGATTTAAAAAAAAAAAAAAAACAAGAAAAAAAAAAACATATATATAAATAATTATATTACTATAATTTACTATAACCACACGATTATATTACTAAATGGACACCATACTTTTTACGGCTACATAGACAAGTTGCAGTTCTAGAATCATTAGATATAAAAATTTGCCATATGTATTGATTAAAGCTGCATTAAGTACTAGAGTATATGTAGTTACGTTATGTGGCGACATTACATAAAAAAATAAATGGAATAATGGTAGGCAACACTGATTTAAAGAGAAATTAAGTCAAGTACAGACTTTCAACAACTTTTGTGGCCAGGTAATGTGTCAGGTTTGTGAAAATAGTACAAAGGTTTAATTTTTTCTCCCCATTGAGTGCAGTATGACCCAGAACCTTGGAGATTTTCAAGCATTTGATCTGTGTAATCCTTTCATGCTGCCAGATGTTTCCAACAGATTTCTAGAATTGAGTGGGCTACAGGCATCAGTAGCAGTAGGCAGACTTAACTCGAATTCTCGGATTTGAGAAATAAAAATTTTCAATTGAAAAAGCAAGTGATAACTGATCAGTTTCTGGTGGGTACAGTCAATTAAGGCAAAAAAGCAAACAAGTACTGGAGCAGGACCTTGGCCAGGACACCAAATAATTTGCCAAGGGGGACTGAGCTTATCCCAAACACGCCTGCCCATCAGAGATTTACCAGACATTCCATTCATCTGTCAAGGTAAATGGAACAGACGCCTAGATTTACAGCAACAATGCCATATCTGATCTATGCTTCTTGATTGCTGTAGTCAGTTTATAGCAGTGGTTTCCAAACCAGTCCTCAAGGCATGCCTACCAGTCAAGGACTTAAGGATTCTAAAAAAAATCCTGAGATCCCCAAATCCTGGACTGGTAGGTGTGCCTTGAGGACTGGTTTGGAAACCACTGGTTTAGAGCATAGAGATATCTGGCAACAATCCACATATTACTCTGACATTAAAATCTCAAAACTGCTACAAGTTGCTTTAATGGTCATCTCCTGGGTGTTGAAAACAAGGGAAACCAGCCATGGTGACCTTTGTGCACCATAACCTATAGAAAAAGGATGTTGTGATGTTAAAGGACCACTATATTGCCAGGAAAACACTCGTTTTCCTGGCACTATAGTGCCCTGAGGGTGCTCCCGCCCGGCTCTGGAAAGGGGTTAAAACGTACCTTTTTCCAGCGCTGGGCGGGGAGCTCTCTGCCTCCTCTCCTCCTCCGATCCTCCCCGCCGGCTGAATGCGCACGCGCGGCAAGAGCTGCGCGCGCATAGGAAAGCATTTGTAATGCTTTCCTATGGACGCTTGCGTGCTCTCACTGATTTTCACAGTGAGAAGCACGCAAGCGCCTCTAGTGGCTGTCAATGAGACAGTCACTAGAGGAAATAGGGGAAGGCTTAACCCATTCATAAACATAGCAGTTTCTCTGAAACTGCTATGTTTATAAAAAAATGGGTTAACCCTAGAAGGACCTGGCAACCAGACCACTTCATTAAGCTGAAGTAGTCTGGGTGCCTAGAGTGGTCCTTTAAAGTAATCCTGTAAACTTTTTTATTTTTTATTTATTTGTAACTCACTCCACAAGTATGAAAACATGTAACAGTGTCAGAAGCTTGACAATCATATCATATACATTCCCACCTCCTGCAAAGGTGACTAGTGAAGAGAGGGGCTGACATTTTTCGTGAGTTATGACAAGTGAAGAGGTGGTGGGTGTGAAAGCATGCAATTTTAATGTCTTTATTGCAAAAAAAGACATTGGCTAGCTATTTCACAGGCACAATGTATAGATAAGCCAAGGAGAAGATTTAATTTCTGCAAAGCGCAAGAGGGGCATCTTGCCTTTTCTTGTGCAACTTATTCCTGGTTTGTTACTTAGTCCGATTAACCTTTTCTTATTACTTAAGAAAATTGCAGATGATGTTCACTGCTGCCATTTACATTGTCTATTTCTCAAAATAAATTTAAATGCCCACTTGCTCTGTATGCAATAAAGCATATAGATAAAAACATTTAAAATGGATCTTCCTTGAGACTGTACTTTCATTAGGGCAGGGCCCTCTCCATGTACTGTTACAGTAGGTCAATCATATTTTGTTAAAGTCAAACATTTGTCTTGCTTATTTTGTACAGTGCTGTGGAATATGTTAGCTAAGATAGCTATGCTGAAAAAAAGAAAAAAGAAAAAAAAAAAACGACTTTAAATGCCGTAATTTTGGCTTACAAATTCACAAATCTCGTTGGAAATCCTCCACAATTAATAAAATACCCATAATTTTATGATGCATTAGAAATTGCACCATTATTTCACAAAGGATTTCACAAAGGATTTCCCTTCATTCCAGACTCAGATATTCTCTATTCCTGTGGTTTCCAAGTTTTATTGTACCAAGGCACTTCAATGAGAGGTAAAAATAAAGATGTAATTTAATTGCACATCATAAAGGTACATTTAATAAGTCGTGACATACTTGCAAAGTTCATTAACCAGTTTTAGCTTATATCAAAAGTCACCATATTTCAGTGCCAACGGATTTACAATATGTGCATAGACAGCATTCAATCAACTTATCCAGCCCTGATGTCAATTTGAGGTGGCTTGTGGCACACCAGTATGCCACAGTACACTGGTTCAAAATCACCATCAAGCCCAATAAAGAAACCAAAAGATTTTTGTCAATTGGAATATTGTCATCTGCCACGTTTACATGACCACAAACATTCAAATTTCTACCTATAATAAAATGCTGCAATATACTTTAGAAAGTAAGCTACCAGTGTTTGTTAAAGGGACACTATAGTCACCTGAACAACTTTAGCTTAATGAAGCAGTTTTGGTGTATAGAACATGACCCTGCAGCCTCACTGCTCAATCCTCTGCCATTTAGGAGTTAAAGGACCACTCTAGGCACCCAGACCACTTCAGCTTAACCCCTTAACGACGGGTGACGGACGAGGTCCGTCACAGAAGGGAAACCCTTAATGACTAGTGACGGACCTTGTCCGTCACGCGGTAAAATTAACCCCGGATCGCCGCGATCGCGGGGTTAATGGTGCTCCGGTATGCCTCTGCATTAGAGGCATACCGGGAGCACCCGGTCAGGCTGCCCAGCATATGTGCTCGCTCTGACCGCAAGTTAGAGCGAGCACATGTGCTCTGTATACTTACCTTCCGGCTCCCTGCACTTCCGGGTTCTGTGTGAAGTGCAGGGAGCCGGATCAGTGATGATCCTGCCCCTTGCTGTAAAAAAAAATAAAGTTAATTTAAAGTCCCACCCCCCCATTACCCATTTTAATAAAAAATTAACCCCTTCCCTGCCAATTGATCACGGACTACAGTGATCAATTGGCAGGGATTACATTTTACTATGATCTGATTTTTTTTAACCCCTGAGGGTTAATTCTTTTTTTTGTAACCCTCAGGGGTTAAATTTATTTAATTAATTAAAATATTTTAAAATTATATATTTAGCTAGCTGGGGTGGGTGGAAGGTAGTGGGGAATTGGGGGATTTGGAGTTAGGCTAACTAGGGGTTAACGTTAAAAAAGTTTTAAAAAAACTTTAAAAAGTTAAAAATTAAGCTTTAAAAAAATGTTTTAATAACGTTTAAGTAAAAAAAAAAAACCACCCTTTACCTAGTCCAAATAAAAATTAACCCCTTCCCTGCCAGTCGATCACTGCCTACAGCGATCAAATAGAGATCACAGTATTATACTGTGATCTAATTTTTTTTAACCCCTGAGGATTAACTTTTTATTTATTTTTTAACCCTCAGGGGTTCAATTTATTTAATTAATTTATTTAAATATGTTATAACTATATTTTGCTAGCTGGGGTGGGTGGGAGTTATGGGAAAATGGGGAATTTACTGTTAGTGCTGCGTACTGCTAGTTAGGGGTTAACGGTAAAAAAAAAAGCTTAAAATGTTAAGTCTGTAAAAAAGTTTTAAGAAAGTTTAAAAAAATTAAGCAACACAAAAGTTTAAAAACTAGTTTTTAAAAGTAAAAAAAAGTTATAAAAAGTAAAAAAATACATTTTAAAAACGCTCATTACCACTACACCTGGAACAAACTAGAGAAAAAAATTATCCCACACCAAGGTTCAAAATATGGCTTTTGAATTACCCCAGGGTGTATTCTTTAATAAATAGTATGTGTTTGTGGGGAAGTTTCAATAACCAACCGTCTAAACTACTCCAAATTGGAACATGGACACAGCATAAAACTTCAAAGTTAGAAAAAAACTGAATGGCTGCGTCTCAAATGCGCCCCTTCAACATCCACATACCTGGCAAAGGTATGTATTGCTGTACTCAGACGACATAGCTGAGCAACATATGAAGTATTATACAGTCATAGCACACATAAGGTTTGCAAATTATGCTGCGCAAACTCACTTTGTATGTCAAAAAGGCAGAAAAAATGCTTATTACCTCTACACTTGGTACAAGCTAGCGGAAAAATGATCCCACGCTAATGTTCAAAATATGCCTTTTGAAATACCCTGGGATGTCTTCTTTAAGAAATGGTATGGCTTTATGGGGTATTTGGATTATATAGCCTGGTAAAATACTCTAAAATGGGACATAGGCACAGCATAAAAATTCAAAGTTTGAAAAAAACTGGAATGGCTGTGTCCCAAATGTGCCCCTCCAATGTCCACACATACCTGGCAAAGGTACATACGGGGGTATTGCTGTACTCAGCCGACATAGCTGAGCGACATATGAAGTATTATACAGTCGTAACACACATAAGGTTTGCAAAATATACTGTGCAAACTCACTTTGTATGTCAAAAAGGCAGAAAAAAAAAACGCTTATTACCACTACATCTGGTACAAGCTAGCAGAAAAATGATCTCACGCTAAGGTTCAAAATATACCTTTTGAAACACCCTGGGGTGTCTACTTTAAGAAATGGTAGGCCTTTGTGGGGTAGATTGAATTTAAAACCTGCAAAGATGCTTGGAAATTGTACATAGGCCCAGCGTCAAAATTCAAAGTTTGGTAAAAACAGGTATGGCTTGGTCTCCTATATGGCACTGTAGCTTCAAGAAATAGTGCCAAAGACATTCATATGGGGTGTCATTTTACTCAGAAGACTTAGCTGAGCATAATTTGGGGGGTTTGAACTTAGTGGCACATATGAAATATACAAAACGCCCAGCAAAAATGCAATCCGTATGTAAAAAATGCACAAAATTATTTTTTACCACATATATTGGTGAAAAAATGGGGGCATGTTAAGGCACAATATGCACCTTATGAGATACCCTGTAGTGTCTACTTTTACAAATGGTAGGCCTTTGTGGGGGTTTTTTGAACAGTCAAACTGTTATAATACCCCAAATGGAAGCTAAGGCTCATTAAATCCATCTCTCAAAATTCTACTGTGAATACTGAAAAGGACAGGTATCCTGTGTGGCACTGTAACTTCACGAAATAGTGCCAAAGACATACAATGGGAGTGTCATTTTACTCAGCAGATGTAACTGAACACAAAATAAAACTTTGTACAGGAATAGCACACACCAACTTCACAAAATATACACAAGAATTTCTTTGTTATAAGTTTGTGTGCCAAAAACCCCAAAAACCCCACAATTTTACTCCAATATTTAGCAGAGGTTGGCGGTGAAATGGCTTTGTAGAAAGTGTCAAAACATTAGGTAAATAGCCCGTGATGTCTACTTTATATAAATATATACTTTTGTGTGGCAATTTTGTTTTCTTTTATGGCTATTAAGCTTACAAGACAAACATACCAAATTCTAAAATCGCTCCACATTAAAAGTCTATTTTACTCCTTGTGCTTTGTGACCTGTAACTAACAAAAAAAAACAAAAAAACTTAAAATCCCAGACACATTGTATATTCTTTAAATCAGAACAACTAAATTAATTTATTTTTAATTACTTTTCTTAAACTGCACTAATTATGCACACATTATTGCAAAAACTAAAAAAAAAATTCATTTTTTTTAAATTTTTCTGTATTTTTTTATAATAAATAAGCATTTATATATGTGTGTTACATCAAATTAAAGCCCTTTCTGTCCTTTAAAAAACGATGTATGATGTGTGTTGGTGCAACAAATTAGTAAAATGCAAATTGCAGTTGAACGCAAACAGCAAAAAATGAAAAAAATGCCGTTGTCATTAAGTGAAAGACAAGCTTTTGAAGCTCTGTCCTTAAGGGGTTAATGAAGTGGTCTGGGTGCCAGGTCCAGCTAGGGTTAACCCATTTTTTCATAAACATAGTTTCAGAGAAACTGCTATGTTTATGAATGGGTTAAGCCTTCCCCCATTCCCTCTAGTGGCTGTCTCATTGACTGTCTCATTGACAGCCGCTAGAGGCGCTTGCTGTGATTTTCACGGTGAGAGCACGCCAGCGTCCATAGGAAAGCATTATGAATGCTTTCCTATGTGACCGGCTGAATGCGCGCGCAGCTCTTGCCGCGCGTGCGCATTCAGCCGACGGGGAGGAGAGCTCCCCGCCCAGCGCTGGAAGGTAAGGTAAGGTTTAACCCCTTTCCCCTTCCAGAGCTGGGCGGGAGGGGGTCCCTGAGGGTGGAGGCACCCTCAGGGCACTATAGTGCCAGGAAAACGAGTGTTTTCCTGGCACTATAGTGGTCCTTTAAATCCATTTGTTTATGAATCCTAGTCACACCTCCCTGCATGTGACTTGCACAGCCTTCCATAAACAATTCCTGTAAAGAGAGCCCTATTTAGGCTTTCTTTATTGCAAGTTCTGTTTAATTGAGAGTTTCTTATCCCCTGCTATGTTAATAACTTGCTAGACCCTGCAAGAGCCTCCTGCATGTGATTAAAGTTCAATTTAGAGATTGAGATACAATTATTTAAGGTAAATTACATCTCTTTGAAAGTGAAACCAGTTTTTTTTTTCATGCAGGCTCTGTCAATCATAGCCAGGGGAGGTGTGGCTAGGGCTGCATAAACAGAAACAAAGTGATTTAACTCCTAAATGACAGTGAAATTGCAGGGGAATGAGCTATACACTAAAACTGCTTTATTTAGCTAAAGTAATTTAGGTGACTATAGTGTTCCTTTAAGATAACCAATTAGGAGCACCAGTAACCTGACCAGCTATATTTATCAAACCACCAGTGTTTGAGAGCCAGTTTTAAAGTGTTATACAGTTTGCATGTTAAGTCAAATCTGGCTTAACACTGAATGTTCTATGAAAAACTGGCAACCACATGTTTACAGGGGCAGCAGGTGTGCAGTTAAAACAAAAACAAATTTTTACTTACTGTAAAAAAAAATTCTTAATATGGTGGTAGTACATGTGGGTTTTGCTCCTTTCCTGTGGACAAGCATCTAACAAGATTAATTAAGTTAACAAACCCCTCCCCTTTGCCCTATATAAGGGCTATCCGGCAAAACCTACCCCAGTAAGTAGCAAGAAGAAACACAAAACTTAACACACATACATATACACATATATATTCCACCATATTAAGAAAAAAAGTAATATACGGTAAGTCGACATTTCTGTTTTTTCTGTCATATGGTAGCAGTACATGTAAGATATAGCAAGATACCCCAACCGTGTAAGTCCAATGCTAGCACAGCTACACAAACTTTATGCCCAAAGGCCGTTTACGAGGATGAGAATATCTCAAGCCTGAAGAGAATAACAAAGATGTGGAAAGGCAGCCCAAGATGCTGCCTTACAGAATTCTACTGGAGAAACAAGATGACTACCCCCCAGGGGCAGCCATTACCCTGAGTGAAAAGAGCCCTTAGAGATATCGGCACATAAGGACCACCGGAAAAATATGCCAATCTACTTGCTCATCTTAGTCAATTTAAACCAAAGATTTTTGCAGGAAGCTCCGTGCCCCTGGAATCTACACTGGAGGTTAACAAACAGGCCAGAATACCTGAGCTCCTCAGTCCTAGGAAGAAAAACCTTGCTATGCTCCAAGTAAAAAACAAAAAAACTCTAAGCTCCCGAAGAGAGGTGGGACAACCACCCAAGGGAAAGCAGACACAATCGGTTGACTTGTAGGGAAAAAAAGGAAGTTTCGTAAGGTGAAGAACCACCCTATCCATAGCAATACTGCAAAAATCATCTGGGGAAGAAAATGCCAGAAGCTCACCGAATCTTTTAGCTGGTCTGACTGCCACCAAGAAAGTGACCTAGAGGAACGAAACCTGTAAGGGACACCTCTTCCAAAAGATCGAAAGAGGGACACAAAGCTGAAAAAAGTCAATGATAAACCCTAGGCAGGAAAAAACTTATCTCTAGGAGGATGTCTGGACCTGACAGATCACAACAAACCTATAGATTAACAAATGGATGAAAAGTCTCTCAGTGAGTCTTAGGACTGAGGCTTGAATTTCAAAGTAGAAAGACCAAAGTCTGCAGGAAAAAAAAAAAAAGAAAAAACTTTCAGAAAAATTTGAAACATGGGTCTTAGAGACAGATGAACACACAGGCAATGGTGTTCCCACCATCAAAAAAAAAAAACACTTGACCTTTATATGAAAGTAGACTGAAAAAGCAGTAGCCAGGCCATAAACCTGAACTTCTACAGAACCCTAGGTTAGATTCCTGTTTATTGTGAGATTGGAAGTTCCCATTGTGTGGACGCCATCTTCTTGAACATCAGGAAAAAACCTTGTTTGGCCTAGAGTAGAATAAGAACCAGGATAAAGTTCCGACTGCCCTAATTTCCGAAGAATCCTTGGAAATAGTGTCAGCGGAAGAAAGACGTATGCCAGCCTGACATTACAATGAGAGTATCTCTATTCATCGAAGGGATCTGCTCTGAACAGGGAGGAAACTTGGGGAACCTGGCTTCTGTAATGCTCATAAGGGTCAAGTCTGGAAAAATCGAAGTTCCTCTCCAGAACATAAAACAACACATGGACCTCAGGACCAAACTCTCTGATACCAATTACCCCTGCCGAGCTTGACGGCTATGTAATTGTCGAACCCTTTAAAAAGAAAACTGCCGAAATATCTATTAGATATTTTTGCACCACAGCAAGATAACCGCCTACAGGCGATAAAGAGCACCTACTCTGATTCCTCTTTGCCAGTTGACTGAGTCCTCACAGCAACTTGTCATAGCATATAGAGGGTACATACACTGCTCAGTCACTTGTCAGAGCATATAGTGGGTACATATACTGCTCACAGTAACTCATACATGGAGCTTATAGTGGACACACTGTACTTCTTTATTACCACTCTCCGCAAGGTCATAAACTTCTTCCCTCGTAGTCTTTTTTCCTTGTATAAACTTTACAGAGATAGTTTTAAAGTAAAGATTAGTTAATCTTACCTTAAAATACCTCTGAGCCGTGTGGGGCTTGGTGACACAAAGTACCTCTTCTGACAAGCATCCCTGCTGTCAGTGGGAACCTGCACAGCTTCGATTTTCGTTTTTTTTTTTTTTTAAATAAAGCTTTCAGTTTACGCATGCGTACTAGCGCAACCGGAAGCTTAGGTGGAACACAGCACCACCCGGGCGTGCGTTCCACCGCTGTGCACCGGATAAACTCCGCCTCCAGGAAGTATTGCCGGAACCCTTCTCGGCATAAAAGGAATCACAACTCCACTTGCTCCTTAAACCTACTGGTCGGATGCATGGGCTCTCAGCCTACCACCCAGGCAGCTCTCGGACCGGATCCCCCAGACCAGCAGCCTGTGTGTCTCACCATCTAGATGTGTCCTTCCCTCTTGGGACAAGAAAGAAAACTGGGTAGGTTTTGCCAGATAGCCCTTATATAGGGCAAGGGGGAGGGGTTTGTTAACTTAATTAATCTTGCTAGATGCTTGTCCACAGGAAAGGAGCAAAACCCACATGTACTGCCACCATATGACAGAAAAAAAAATACCACCTCTTAGAGAACAGAACAATAATACATGGGAATTCAAGGCATATGCTTAGCAAGAGACACTATCCTGTTTTCACCAGCTCTGACCTACAGCACTAGAATTATTCCCATCTGGTCAAAAACTTGATAAGTAGAATTAATAAGGTGAAAAAAAAAAAAAAAAGCAGTATTTGTTCGTGATATCCATCTACAGATTTCCATAGTATGAAGAGAAATAAAAAATCCTCAGCACACAAAGCTCAGTAGTAGTTTATTCAGCCACCAAGGCCTGGCAACGAGTTGTCTCTTGGTGCCTTTATCAAGCCAAACGTTGCCAGACCTTTGTGGTTATATAAACCCCCACTGACCTTTATGCAGCATGCCAAGGATTTTATTTTTCTAATGATTAGTTTTTTGCATATAGGCTGAATTTGATTTCTCTCTAATTCGTACTCCACGAATGTTGACTGATCCCAGGAGGCCAACTGCCAGGGTTTACAGCATCAGTGCAAGTGGTTCCCTGATATACACTTTAGAACCAAAAATTCTTTAGGAAATTCCATACAATGTGCCTCACATGATTCCTGGGTTAATCTAGTAATAACTGAGGCAAGCATACCAGAAGAACTACAGCTTAATGTAGTTATTCTGGCATCTATAGTCAGTCCCTGCAGATTTTGCTGCAAACACGGTTTCAAAAAATAAATAAAAAAAAGTGGTCAGTGTTTACATTGCTCCTAGGGACACCTCCAGTGGCAGTCACCAAGGCAACCACTAGAGGTGCTTTCTGGGTCACTGCTGCACATCATGCACGATGGACATTCAGCATCTCCACACACTGCATGGAGGTGATTAACTTTACCCATAGAGATTTATGGAGTCACTGAACCTTTATGGAGGAGATTCTGATGAGCCAGCATGGAGTTTTGTTGCGCATGCGCAATGGTCTCCCATTGCTTTCCTATAGTAAAGCATTGGATTGGCAGATATCAATTCTGATGATCTCAGCCAAGGAGGTGGATCGCAGGTAGAGCATGCAGACCCATGCACCTCTGGACTAAAGGTAAGTGGATTTGTTTTAAGGGGAGCCAGCCACCTAAATAGTGTTTAACACTATAGGGTCAGGAATATACATTTGTATTTCGGACTCTACAGTGTTGCTTTAATAATTCTAATTAAAAAAGTTGCTACACATACTAATCAAACCAGATTCTTATCTGGTATGACCAACCAAGATAGGTGTGGGCTTAATCAAGTTAAAGGACCACTCTAGGCACCCAGACCACTTCAGCTTAATGAAGTGGTCTGGGTGCCTGGTCCAGCTAGGGCTAACCCATTTTTTTTATAAACAGAAACTGCTATGTTTATAAATAGGTTAATCCAGCCTCTAAAGACTCTAGTGGCTGTCTCATTGACAGCCGCTAGACGCGTTTACGTGCTTCTCACTGTGAAAGTCACAGTGAGAAGACACAAGCGTCCATAGGAAAGCATTATGAATTCTTTCCTATGAGACTGGCTGAATGCGCACGCAGCTCCTGCCGCGCATGCGCATTCAGTCGAAGAGGAGGAGAAGAGCTCCCTGCCCGGCGCTGGAGAAAGGTAAGATTTTAACCCCTTCCTCTCCCCAGAGCCCCGCGAGAGGGGGTCCCTGAGGGTGGGGGCACCCTCAGGGCACTATAGTGCCAGGAAAAAGTATGTTTTCCTGGCACTATAGTGGTCCTTTAAGGATCTGTAGACATCTTTATATTGATATTAGAGAGTCTACCCCAAGCTTGGGGATATCAACTATATCCATACAGAACAAAATTAAATTAAAAGTGAAATTTATAAATGGAAATAAAATAGATCTCACATCTGATTTTTGCTTTGGAATATGTAAATTAGAATTTAATTTACAATCAGAATGACACTTAATTCAAACGCATTTATAAAAATACAATTATCAGTCTAAGCACACATTATTGAAGGCTTTATTGCGGTTGAGCTTAGCATTCATAAAACCCAGAGCATCTAGGAAAAAGGACTAAAGTTAGAGGAGCAAAATGAGACTAAGTAGTGTGACTGAAGTATCTTACAGAAGGAAGGAAAAAAATTAAAAGGGGGGCTCAAGAGTGGATATTTACAGAGGTCTGAATGCTTGTTAAAGTTTTGCATATGCTAAGATTCATTGCACCAGTGTGCACGCAATGCACTCCTATGACCTTGTATTTTTGTAAGTCATTTGATAAACTGAACACTTCCGAAAGAGAACTGCATATCAGTTACTTAAGTGGGCATTACTAAAGGGAAGATAATGTCAACATACAGCAATACCCATCTCTTTAAAGACCACAAAGTGTTGCTCAGAGTGTATTGTGAGATGGAGAATAGTCAATGACTACCAAGCCAGTTCACAAACTCGCAGCTTTAAATATTTGGCAAGTCAAGTGAATCTGTAAAAATGTGTGCTTCGATGGAGTCACTTTTTTTAATAAAAGTTGCACATTCACAACCTCCCCTGTAGCAAGAGTACAGGTCCATCCAATTAACTCACTATAAATAGTGACTGGATACACGATTTAGGTTCTACTGCCACTAAAAGGCAATTTTTGGGATGCAGTAACCCTTTTGCAGAGCAGGGGCAACCACAAGGTAGAATCCCACCTGTTTTATACCACACCTCACAGAATGTCAACCACAACAGAAAACGGTGCATAACACAGATATCAAGCAAGACACTAATAGCAAAGCTGTAAAAGCTCTCCAGTAGCTGGCAATGCATTAAAAGAGACAGGGCAAGCCTTCCAAGCATCACATAGACTTCCCAAACCTACTGGGGCCTTTGCACTAAATTGTAGCAAGTTACATTCCAAGTGGTAAAAGTTGGGCACAAAGATTTGGTTATATTTTACCCACACACACACTGAAGGCAGCACAGGAATACTGCGGCCATGAAACCGGCAGAATTCCAGTGTTTTATGAAAGAAAATCAACTGTATATAAGCTAAATACTTTGTTTTTTCTGCAGGATAGTTCTTTGTGCACGGTCCAACATCATACAGTTGTAAAAGATACATTTTTATTTAGGGGTAGTTGATTTGGCAACCTTAGCCCCAGCAGATAACCGATATACAATGGTTATAATTCCCAAAACATTCTGCAAGTTAGGCACACTGGGTATGGTGGACACAACCCTCCCATCATCAGTGTACCAAGCGGCATTGTGTAAGGGGATGGCTCAGCGTGATGGGTCTGGATTAAGGGGGTGGCTAGCTCAGTGTGAATGGGATGGCTGATGGGACTGGCTCAGTGTGATGAGGCTAGATGAGTGGGCTGTTTGAAGGGGATGGCTCAGTGTGGTGGGTCTGGCTGAAGGAGCTGGATAGGGCTGGCTGAAGGGGCTGGCTCAGTGTGATGGGGCTGGCTGAAGGTGCTGGCTCAGTGTGATGGGGCTGGCTGAGTGTGATGGGGCTGGATGAAGGGACTGGCTCAGTGTGATGGGGCTGGATGAAGGGGCTGGCTCAGTGTGATGGGGCTGGATGAAGGGGCTGGCTCAGTGTGATGGGGCTGGATGAAGGGGCTGGCTATGAAGGGGCTGGATGAAGGGCTGGCTCAGTGTGATGGGGCTGGATGAAGGGGCTGGATGAAGGGGCTTGGCTCAGTGTGATGGGGCTGGATGAAGGGGCTGGCTCAGTGTGATGAGGCTGGATGAAGGGGCTGGCTCAGTGTGATGAGGCTGGATGAAGGGGCTGGCTCATGATGAGGCTGGATGAAGAGGCTGGAGTGTGATGAGGAGGCTGGATGAAGGGGCTGGCTCAGTGTGATGAGGCTGGATGAAGGGGCTGGCTCAGTGTGATGAGGCTGGATGAAGGGGCTGGCTCAGTGTGATGAGGCTGGATGAAGGGGCTGGCTCAGTGTGATGGGGCTGGATGAAGGGGCTGGCTCAGTGTGATGGGGCTGGCTCAGTGTGATGGGGCTGGCTGAAGGGGCTGGCTCAGTGTTTACATATACCGGGCTATTTACCAGGCTAGGCCACACTGCCATCCCAGGCTCCCGTGCAGAGCTGTAAGTTATCAGACCCAGAGCCCAAGCCGGGCTGCACACAGGAACCCATCACTGTGCCTTACCTGCCCGGGATGCCTGGCTCCCGCTGGTTACCCGCCTCCCCCCCGCTATAAAGGACCGCTCTGGAGACCCCACCATCCGCGCCGGGAGGGGCGCTCACGGAAGGCCGGTCATTCACAAATCTGGCCTCGAAAACCGGATCCGAACACACCGGCAAGATCTCCCCCCTCCCCGGGACTGAACTACTGGGGCGGGGGGAGAGAGAGACTGCCGTAAATACTGGACCACACGGGCATGTGACCCAACGCTACCGTAATCCCCCTAACACGCGGACAACAGGCAGCCATTACCGTAATAACACGGTCACGTGGTCCATCCAGGGAACAGAGGCTCCCTTAGTGTTTATATATAGAGGATAAAGTTACTCATGGCATTATTGACAGCATGGTCCCAGGAGAGAGATGTGGGGCTAGAACTACAGACCTAGAAAGGATAACTAGTCACATGCAGGGTTATGCACTAAAGTGGGAATTGCTGGGAATTTAAAGTGAATTCAAAGTTTTCCACTAAACTGGAAATAATTCTCCCAGTCAGCTTTATATACAGTTTGGGTAGTTTAGCCTCAAATTTGAAAATCACTTTGCATTTCTAGGAATTCACACTGCAAGGGTTAAACCAAGCATGTGGTGCTTATGAATTAAGTACCATGGCGCCGTTGCTTGGTAACGGGGCAAAATGTTCTGCAATGGTTTGCCCTCCTTACCTGGGTGCCCGCCAGGTGCCGAGAATCCTATAACGGCCGGTGACGAACATTCAGCTTCCGCAGAGCTGCAGATAACCGCATGCCGATTCTTTTTGCAATTCGGCAGCTGAGAGTATCAGCCAATGAATGGTATTCTGTAAATAGAAATATGCACAGATTTTATATTAACCCCAGGCTGGCTAAGGGCGCCTCGGTGATGCTGCCAGAGGTGGAATTAATCCTCCAGCTACAAAAGGGTTAAAGGTTGAATGTGCAGAACAGGCACCATGACCACTTCAAATCACTGAAGTGGGCTAGGTTCTTGGAGTAATCCTTTAAGCAAATTACTGAAATTTTAAGCCAAGTAGTTAAAGGACACTAAAGCCTTAGGAATACAAACCTATTTTCCTTGGGGGCCCTGTTCCTAGGTGTATATAGGCCCTTCACCCTTTTCCCACAAAAAAATAAAAGGGTTTACTCAAATTTTTCCAGCAACTCCCTCAGTGCTGATGATTTGTTTGCTTCCTGTGACATAATTTAGGAGGCATTATCTCCTTCATCATTGATTCAACCCAATGCTCCTCATAGATCTGCACAGGGGACCTGATGTGCATGTACGATGAGCTCTGCACGCTCATACAATGCTCCTCATAGAGCTGCACTGGGGGCCTGATGTGCATGTGCAGTGAGCTCTGCACGCTCATACAATGCTTCTCATAGGAAAGCAATTAATCCAATGCTTTCCAATTAGCTTCCATGTTGTCGTGTTTCTCATCTTCTTAAAAACTGCAGTTTTTACATTATAGGGTTAAAATGACAGGGCCATTGCACCCAGATCACTTCATTGAGATGAAATGGTCTTCTAGACTTAGTGGTTCTTTAAATTGGAAAGTACACGTCAGCTATATTTCCATTTTGTCTGTTTTGGTCTAAAATGTGAAAATCGTTTTGAATTCCAGATAATAGGAATTTATGAAACTAAAATGTAACTTAGAACAAAACTCATGTGTCTTATTTATAAGGATTGATTTTATAAATACATTTATTGTAGTTTAAAGCCACTTTACTGCAGTTGAGCTCCGGTGTAAATTCAGAAACACCAATGGTTTCTAAAAAAGAGGCATATTAGGATAGAAATTAGGGGATTTGGAACCAAAATAGGGACTATATCTACTAAATTGGGACACTTGGGAAGTGTGTATCTAGGATTCCAGGTACAGTGAGATACACTTGTAGTAGGATGAATCCGATATGCAAAAAGCATAGGCTCTGTCCGTATGGGTAAGCTATTGGAGTTTTTTTTTTGGTGTGTCCATTCTCACTATACTCTTTCACCTTGTCTAGGATTTTAGAACAGCTTAGTAGACCCCAAAAAGTTGATCCTGTGTGTTTCAAGAAAAATAAATCTTTTTTTTTTTTGCATTAACTTATTCTGAATTAAGCAACATTAAGGGGTAGCTAGACAAGGGGCGGAAAAAAAAAATATTACCGACTATAAATCAGTTATTTCACAGATTTACTACAGGGAACTAGAAAAAGCAGTTGGGTCTTACATGCTGACACATTTTCTTAAGCTAGTTTTGCAATATATGTTTTTAATATTTGTGATAAACATACTTAGTTTGGCAAAAAAAGAAAAGAAAAATTCAAAGGAGCATTTTTAAAATTCTGCAAACACCATGTAATGCTTAATTTAGCCGTTCCTTTCCTGTACTCAAAATACCACCAGAGGGCTGTAGTGAACTAGAGTTCAAGGTGACACGGAGCTTCACAATGATGCATATAGTACTGACATTAATTTCATGGGATTTGGTTTGGGCCTATTTTTACATTAATGTCTAAAAGGTTACTAACATTGCCCCAGATTCCCCATCCTCTGTCATTAAAATAACCTATATAGGTTTCCACTAACTTATTATAGTTTCTGCACATCTACCAAAAACATTAATCTATATTTTACATATTGCTATTCTCCTCAAGGGTTTTAATACACATAGCAAGCATGTTTGGTCATAAACAGATCGTATATAGAGGGATTTATTTACTAAGCTGCAAATCATCAATATTCACTAGGCATTGTTGGAACCCGGTAAAATATCATCTCACAGTTTAGTGGATAGGCCCTATGGGTCTCATTATTACCCAAACCAGGGCTTTTATCACAACTAATAAACTTAAACTGCATGTAACTGAATAACAGCTCATCAACTGAAAATGCAATTAAAAATATCTGTTTATGTGCATACTGTAGAATCTACCCCCATCCGATGTTTTGCAAAGTCATTGGCTAGGCCCTTCATATATACACGTATGCAGTATGCACACACAGTTACATATTCTCAGACATACACGAACACACAGGCTGTCACACTCATGCAAAATGATGCACAGGTGTACCATGCAAAGATACGTACTCCAAGGCACACACATGAAACTCACAGGCATTTATTAAACATAAACATGCACAGGTGTATGTAATCTCAGACACATACACACATGTACCCATGTTTGTATGCATCTGCACACATGCAGAGACATGCATATTCCCAGGCTCACACATAGATGCATACTTCCAAACACAAGCATGCAAATGCATACTCCCAGACACATACCGATACACACGCACCGACACAGACAGATACATGACTAGACAGGCTCAATGATTCACATTCATAGACATACACACACGTAAAACTTGCTATTTTGATGAGCTACCTCACCAGCTGATGAGATTTGCTAATTTTTCTTTATTGATAGACTTGTTTTTATAAGTTTTAAATACTGAAACCCAAAAAAAAAAAAAAAGATATTTTATACACAAGAATAGCTTAAAGCGACACTCTAAGAGCCATAACAACTGCAGTGTGCTATAGTGGTTGTGGTGCCAGCAGTGTCCTGGCACCTCTTCGACATGTTAGAACAGTTGGACTTCCTACCTTCTGCTAGGCCCCATCTCCTCTCAGCCTCAGGAAGAGCCTTCTGTTATCTTTCTTGACATAGTCCAACAGTGCAGGGGCAGCTCATTGGCTGAGATTGTCAGCTAATTGCTTTCAACCAGTGAGCTAAGCACTGCTGCACCAGAGGCAAGGAGCACGTGTCTGTGAAACCCAATGAAAGTAGTCACACCATTCTAAAATGGTCCTGGCACCATATCCACTAAAACGCTTTGGAGTGTTCTTTTCATAGTTTATGTATTTTAGTATAGAAATGTATGTATTTTTTTTACTACTTAATACTTATGTTTAAACACAATTTTTATGTAACGCAAACAGCAATAGCCAAGCTTCACTCTTTCTTTCTATACATTTTTACAAGTAATTGCTTGTGAACCTAAAGGCCTGTGTTAAATGCCAATGATGCTATTGTGAATATAATGTTCTCTTATAAGTTATAACCATGCCCTGAAATGGAGTAAAACAGTCATTAATTAAATGCAGCTCTCTCTGCGCTCTGTTGCTTACTGCAGGTAGAAATTAGAGCTGTCTTCACTTGGAGATTGGCACCATGTCCTCAAGTAACTTCCACGAGCTTGAAGTGAGCTGAATATTTCTATCACATTTTTTTTCTGCCATACAGCATGTTCCCTATTCTTTATTACAGCAGGTGAAATGGTGTAGACAGAGAGTTGGCCTCCTCTGAATCTAAATAGATTGATGTAATAATGAGTCTGAACAGGGAAATCAAAACCCCACTTAAAAGTGGCAGATTGTGGACTCCTGCACTGATTCTGTGTAGTTGCTGATTTTAATGGAAAATAACAAAAAAAACACGTCTTTTTGTAAGGCTGTTGGGGTTAATTCTCTAATGAATGTGGTGAATTGTAAAATTGATTGCAATATTTAGGCCCAAATAGCAGAGATGTAAACATTCTCGCGCGCTCAATTATAACAAGTGTTTAGATATTTCATTCTGAATATATTAAAGGAACACTATAGGGTCAGGAACACCCACATGTATTCCTGTTCCTATAGTGTTAAAAACACACTCTAGCCCCCCCGGCTCTCCCTTGCCTCCCTAAATATAATAAAATCTTACTTGTATTCAAGTCTACAGCTGCTGGCTCTTCCCCTGTCTGCCTCTGACCTGCCTGCTGTCTATTAACATCATCACAAGTGGTGGTCTGAGCCAATCACAATGTTTTCACATAGGATTGGCAAAGACTGTCAAGGAGGCAGATCAGAGGCAGAGTCAGCACAAGTCAAAACTGCGACTGAGTTTTACACCCTCGATATCTGTTCATGTAGCTACCTATTATATGAGGCTAACCGGACTCCACAGGTCAAGGCTACTGGTACTTGGCTGTACCCTGACCAGCACACCTACGCTCCAAAACTGCACATTATAAGTGCTGAAAACAGATGCCCTCTAGTGGATAGGTGCCTCTAGGCAGATGCCTGCTCTGCCTAATTGAAAATTTGACCCTGGATGTTGTTTCCTGGATGTTGGAAAGCTGTAGGCTGCCTAATATCAATATCTGTTATCAGTGCACACTGTACCTTGGTGACAGATGTTCTCAGCTTCTCCCCTTGTCGGCAGCGCTAGGAGCACGTCTGCAAGTGTAATAGTTTATATCAGTGTTCAGCAACCTTTTAGCACCCGCGGCCCAGCGAAAAGAGGAGAAATATTACGCGGACCATTGTCAGCCAGCAATAAAAACCAATGGTATGTGTGAGGGATGCAGTGTGTGTGTGTGAGGGGTAACCCTCTATTTATACTGATATGATGCCTAGGGTCATTTCCTATACAGGCAGTGCCATTTTATCACTGCAGCCTGTTCTCTCACTCTTTTGGGTCGCAGGGGTGACGTGCACCAATCAGTGTCCTCCATAGGGTTTAAATAAAGCTTTAGTTCCATTTGTAATTTACCTGTTGTGGTTTTCTCTTAGTTCCAAGTATAGTGCGTTATTGTTCCCTGATTTTCTGGTTCATCGATTTTGGCTTGTTTACAGACTCTATAACCTGGCTAGTTATATTGTATTTCCATATTTCTAATATCCTGATCTTGTTTAGTTGTACATTTTGTTTTCTCTCTTTTTTACATTAAAGGACCACTCTAGGCACCCAGTCCACTTCAGCTTAATGAAGTGGTCTGGGTGCCTGGTCCAGCTAGGGTTAACCCATTTTTTTTATAAACATAGCAGTTTCAGAGAAACTGCTATGTTTATAAATAGGTTAATCCAGCCTCCAGTCGCTGTCTCTTGACAGCCGCTAGAGGGGCTTGCGTGCTTCTCACTGTGAAAATCACAGTGAGAAGACGCCAGCTTCCATAGGAAAGCATTCTGAATAGACTGGCTGAATACGCTCCTGCCGCGCATGCGCATTCAGCCGAAGAGGAGGAGAGGAGGAGGAGAGCTCCCCGCCCGGCGCTGGAGAAAGGTAAGATTTTAACGCCTTCCTCTCCCCAGAGCCCGGCGAGAGGGGGTCCCTGAGGGTGGGGCCACCCTCAGGGCACTATAGTGCCAGGAAAACGAGTATTTTTTCCTGGCACTATAGTGGTCCTTTAATGGGACACTATAGCCCCCAAACAACTTTAGCTTGATGAAGAAGTCTCACTGCTCAATCCTCTGTCATTTCAGAGATAAATTACTGTGTGTATGTAGCCTTGGTCACAACTCCCTGCAAGTACCGTGCACAGTCTTTCTAAACACTTCCTGTAAAGTGAGATCTAATGTTTATACTTTATTTTATTTTATTATTGTAAATGCTGATTATCTAGTTTTTCTGATCTCCTGCACTGTTAAAAGCTTTCTGATCTCCTGCATGTGATTAAAGTTCAACTAAAAAAAGATTTCCAAAGTAAGTTAACATCTGATTGAAAATTAAACCTTTTTTATGTATGTTATGTCAGTCACAGCCAGATGAGGTGTCACCAGGTCTGCACTGACAGAAACAAAAGTAATTTAACTCCTAAATGGCAGATAATTGAGCAGTGGGACTTCAGAGACATTTTCTATACACCAAAACTTCTTCATTAAGCTAAAATCGTTTTGGTGATGATAGGGTCTCTTTAAACCTGGCTAATCGAAGCTCGGGTAATACGTCCTTTCTGTCTCAATTACTGATCTATACTTTTTAGGCATATGATAAATGATAAATACAAATGTTAACGTAGACATTGGTCATATATTAAAAATCCACTCTTTATAATCACTAATTCACAGTTTTGATGTATGGTGGTTCCAACAAATATGATTCCTTCACATATCATGCCAGGATGGCCACAGCATTCTGATGGATCCCAATTTTATTAAAGACTCGGAGGCTCCTGTGACGGACTGCTGGCACTCCGACTGAGTACCTCCGCCAATCGATGCGCCTAGTGCTCGCTGAGGACTCTAAGCACTCCAACCGACACCATCAACACTGCAGACCCCACTTCCAGCGATGCAGCTGCGCCGGGGTCTCGCCTTTCCTAAATCCAGAGAGCAGGAACCAGGAACAAAACAAGCTATTGCAAGAGCTTACTCTCTGATTATAGCAATCCCCAGAGTGTAGGTATCCCTTCCCTCAAACATGAGCCAAGGCTTCAAGAAAGGTACAAGATCTGGTTTTAATGACCACACATTGGCTTTTATGCAAGTCCCCATGCAAGGGGACATCCCACAGGGTGGGACCCAGTATAACCAATCACAGACAATACAAACAAAACACTCCTGTAACGGATCGCCTGGCACCCCGACTTGGTACCTCCGTTGAAGGATGCTCCTAGCGCTTCCTGAGGACTCCAAGCACTGCAGCAGACACCAAAACCACCGAACCGTAGGAGCATATGAATGCTCTCAAGCATATGAATGCTGTAGACAGTTGAATAGGAACCATACGAATAGGTTTACTCTCCTAGCAGTCAAACTGGAACAGCATACAATAAATCCTTCTCCCAATAATGAGACGACACTTCACTTTGAGGGTTAAAACAGGAACTCCTGTGCTGGCACACCCAGCCTGGTTTTTATTACAGTCTTTCACATACAGGACCGCCCACAGGGAGGTATAAAACAACCAATCACATATCAGTTACATCCCACATATTCCCTCCCCTTATCCTGAGAGGAAACTCAATTACATACAGTTAAAACATACTTTCTACCCAACTTTCATAACTCTAAAACCATACATCACATTCACATAAAATTACATATTCACAATCAATCCATTCAGGGGAACAACATATTAAAAAATGTCATGAATCCGACCAGGGGTTCAAAAGTTAGTAAAAGTATCTTTTGGGCCCTGGCTGGCACATGGCTATCTGGCTCAAACAGGTTTTACAGAGCCCTCTATCCTGGAGACAATGGGAAAAAGTAATCCAATTATCCAGGGATAGAGGCAGACTCCATTGAGCACATGGTTGCAAAAAGACATAAAACTTTAAAATACATAAAGTCAC